ACAGCCTGTCACTCAAAGCGGCCCGCCCTTAATTATACACAACTTTAAACCTTAATAAAACGTTAACAGGTGTGTTATATAAAAATGAACCCCCTGTACAGTTGTCATGAACGTCGAAACTAGCTATAGAGGCTAAAACTGTTTAAAACATGTTTATTTCTGCTGTAAAGTTGGGCATTTTAACATGGGGGTCTATACTGATTGACTGTCTTCTGGCTTTCATTTTGGGGTGAATTATTCCTTTAATGATCCACTGATCCAGGATTAAGGAGTGTGTATTGGCAAACACTGTATATAATATTCATGACAGTTTTTTTATAGGAGTTTAGAATAATCTGAAACCTACAATCATGTTTTCATTACCTTAAAATGAGCCATTCATATCTACCCTCCCTCCACTGAGTCCGCCATGTTGTTTGTACAGTAGCCCAGAGTGGACATATCAAACTCTAGCTCTAGGTAAGTAATAATAATAATAATGTTATTTGTATGGCACAGTTCATACAGCAAGTGCAAATTATAGTGCTTTACATGATAAAATGAGAACATACACATAAAAGACAGTAAAAGATAGAGTAAAAGTTTCATGTTGCTTCTGCGTACACTCGACACAACGTGCACGCAGTTGCGCCGTACTTGCTGTGTGCCTATCATAGTTCTGTGTCCTGTTGGTCAATGTCGCTATGCAATTCCCCGCCAAAACGCTTGGGGGCACAGTGTTCTTTTATATACCTACCTAGACTCTGTGACGTCTATGGTCGTTGCTCGTTCATTGTTTGTTAATCTTTCCAGCGACCGAGAGAGAAAAAGATTGTTGCTGGAGCTCGAAATGATCGACATTGAACAACAAGTGCTCTTATTACAAAAAAAAAACAAAAAACGATCACAATGGAGACTTTTGAAAATGGCGGTGTTGTGGTACTGCAGCAGGAAGTGAAACCTTGTGAAATGCCGGACACGATGTAGTTTGAAGGACCAATCATAGCTCTTGCGGTCTGTGTCAGGTCTGCATTGCCTCGACGCGTGGTTACAAGTTTTTGGAGGTGCACGTCGCGTCACTGCGTCGGTCGCAGAGGGACGCAACGCCTCCGCAAAGCCTCCGCAAAGCCCTCTGCATCATAGGTATGCAGAAGTATAAACCTTGCTTAAATAAGATTCAAATACACAATCACACACTCAGACAGACACATAAAAACACACACTCATAAAAAATACGAATTAGTTTACCAGCTAATTTAGTAAAAGCTATATAAACACAAGTCTAAAAAGATTTTAAAAAGAGGTTTTAAGATTTGAAGCTGTCTACTGAATCAGAAAGTCTGACGTCCTCTGGAAGGGTTCACTGTACTACTGAGGATCAGATAGGGCCATTTGCATTTTCATGTTTTCATGTCAGCCACCATAGTTCTCCTACACGCTTGGCCAAAGAGGTTGACAATGATAGTGCTGTTGTAACCTCTTTGGCTTGGCAGATGGGAGAAGTTGCAGCTCTGCAAACTCACCACTAGATGGCACTAAATCCTACGTACTGTACCTTTAAATATCTACCATTGTTCTTTATATCATGATTTAAAAGAGTTCATGTTCCTGATTTAGATTTGATAAATGCTGAGAATTAAGAATTAGTGAGAATTACATCCTTATGTGTTTTGCATTTTACTGAATACAGACAATGGTAACATATGACAGATAAATTCTTTGGACTTGGATTTCAGACTGTTGGTTTATGAACTGGATCAAATACTGTTTGGCACTAATGGATACATACTTTGTCTTGTTTGGATCTGAGCTGTGTGTCCTGTGCTTAGGGGCTGTGTTTGTGTATTTGTTGTTCTTCCATTGTGGGTTATCTCCTGGAACGTTATTTGTCTGAGGTTTATGCTGATGTTTGGTTGGTATTTATGCATTGTGCTGTTAGATGAGGCTGGGTTTGGTTTGTTGTTCATGTGTCTGAATAATCCCACGAGGGATTGAATCATGTAAATGACCGGATAAGAAAACACATACATGAATTCAGGTCAGCTAAGTTACAAATGACCAAAATGTAGAAACTACTCCAGCTTTCACTGGGCTCCAAACACAAACCTCTGCCTCCCCTTGCAGAGAGATTGCTTTCCTGGCAGACCTTCTCACACCATCCTGTCCTGATCATCCTGAGGGAGCAGCCTTACCATTCTCATCAGGTCTCAGTCAATGCCCACCCCATTGATCCCCTCCACTGACAGCACAGTAAGCCATCTGGAACAGTGGCGGTTTCCCTTCACCCAGGACGCAGCAAGATGGCTCTCGGCTCGACAGGCTGACAGGTGGGGTTTATGCAACCCGCGTTGCCTTAATGGAAAGAATAAATTGAGTGTCATTTTAGCTTAACACGGATGACTGCATTAATGAGCCGTAGATATACTATACGGTCACGTTTAAAGCTCACATGCCACTATCATTTGATGGGAGTAATTTAAAAACAGTCATTTCCAGATTTGAATTTCATCGCTTTTTAACTGATGCGGGCAGTAAATCAAAACTCGTGTGATGCTCCTGCTTCTGCTGTCTCCCCTAAAAGCAGCTGCTGAGGCAGATAGCCAATCAGATGGTGTGTCTCCTTACACAACACAACACAGCAGTTAACATGCTTTCTCCTCCTAAGCCGAGCAACATCTTAAGAATACCCTCGAGCCCCTGTTGAGGCCGTAGCCTGAGCTACACAGCTGGGCTTCCTGAGCCTCTTCATAAACACCTCTCAGGCATGAGTTGAGGCTCTGTCTGTTGAACACACCCTCTGCAAAATAAGGAGCATGTGGGAAATAATGCAAAGGCTGTAGGATTATTTTTTCATATGCAGCAGTGCTTGTTTGTGGATTTAATGCCTGTAAACATAATCTCCACAGACCCCTGCGATTAGCCTTGAGTAACAACACCTATTTTGATAATTAATTAAACATTTCTGTAACTTTTCATCATCATTTTGCATTGAATATGTTTGGTTTTTAGATGTATGGGGAGACAAAACAAACACTCTGCACCTGTCAGCTCTGGACATTACTGAAAATAATGTGCAGCCCTAAATAACAGACCCTAAAAGTACTTAAAAAACTCCACAGAAGTCAGTCAGATGATTAGAAGTGCGTCACAGCCACAATCTGCTGCTTGACAAATACTTTAGTGGTGGACATTCTGGTCCGCTCACCTACCCGACATTGTGCAGCATTTGCTGACGTGCAGGCGGCTGCCGAGGGCATATAAATGAGCTGGGTGACTGGGACCCACCACAGCAGTCCAGAGCAGCGTCACAGGCAGATGGGAGATATTTGATCAGATGTCGCAGACCTTTACATACTCTCAGGGAGCCAGAGAGACAGACACCCTCCTAATCCCCTCTGTTTGTGTGGACCACGTCAGACTGTGGAGAGAGTACAAGCTTTGGGAGGAATGGGAATTCAGCCATTGCTGAAAAAACAAAACCACAAGTTTCTTATACGAGGGAACTTTGCATTTATATACAGCGCTGCAGGGCTGCATATCCATGATGCAAATCTCCCGTTCCACCACATCCCAAAGGTGCTCTATAGGACTGAGATCTGGTGACTGTGGAGGCCACTGGAGTACAGTGAACTCATTGTCATGTTCAAGAAACCAGTTTGAGATGATCTGAGCTTTGTGACATGGTGCGTTATCCTGCTGGAAGTAGCCATCAGAAGATGGGTACACTGTGGTCATAAAGGGATGGACACGGTCAGCAACAATACTCAGGTAGGCTGTGGTGTTTAAACCATGCTCAGATGGTACTAAGGGGCACAAAGTGTGCCAAGAAAACATCCCCCACACCATTACACCACCACCACCAGCAGCCTGAACCGTTGATACAAGGCAGGATGGATCCATGCTTTCATGTTGTTTATGCCAAATTCTGACCCTACCATCTGAATGTGGCAGCAGAAATCCAGACTCATCAGACCAGGCAACGTTTTTCCAATCTTCTATTGTCCAGTTTTAGTGAGCCTGTGTGAATTGTAGCCTCAGTTTCCTGTTGTTAGCTGACAGGAGTGGCACCTGGTGTGGTCTTCTGCTGCTGTAGCCCATCTGCTTCAAGGTCTGACGTGTTGTTCACTCAGAGATGGTCTTCTGCAGACCTTGGTTGTAACCAGTGGTTATTTGAGTTACTGTTGACTTTCTATCATCTTGAACCAGTCTGGCCATTCTCCTCTGACCTCTGGCATCAAATGCTCACTGGATATTTTCTCTTTTTGGGCCCATCCTCTGTAAACCCTAGAGATGGTTGTGTGTGAAAATCCCAGTAGATCAGCAGTTTCTGGCACCAACAACCATGCCACATTCAAAGTCACTTAAATCTCCTTTCTTCCTCATTCTGATGCTCGGTCTGAACTTCAGCAGGTCGTCTTGACCATGTCTACATGCCTGGATGCATTGAGTTGCTGCCACGTGATTGGCTGATTAGCTATTTGCATTGACAAGCACTTGAACAGGTGTATCTAATTAAGTGGACAGTGAATGTATATGCTCTTGTGTTGCACTCAGTGAGTTTGTTAAAATAATTCCCAGTAAAACGCTGGTACTGAGCAGCTACTTAACAAATACAAAAACGGTGAATAACAATGGAATTACTAAACTGTGAAAACCTCTGACCAAACAAATAAATTAGGACAAGATGGATAATATGTCAACAAAAGGCAACAAGGAGGAAAACAAACTGTCTGAAAGAACAGATAAATGAAATAGCGCTGATGCAGAAAATGAATTCATTGGGAAGTTAGAGCAGAAACTCGCAGGTTCAGTGTTGCAAGTGGGTGAGAAGCTGCAGTATTTAGTTCAGACTGGATCTATGTGTGTATATCTAGTCATTCAGCTGTCTGTGTTCATCAGTCAAAATTCTGTGTGTGGGAAGATGCTCGTTATTTGTCTGTTAATGTCGTTTTGCAAACCTCTCAAAGCAAGATAGATTCATTAACGTATCTGATGAATGATTACAAGGCCGACGCCAAACATGAAAAGTACAAACTTTATTTAGAAAAAAGGCAAAAGCATATTCACGCGAGCAAACAAACGTGTGTCTGAAAGCTGTTCAGATACGATTGTAAGGCCTGACTAACACAAAAACAGCGCTAAAGCCATTTGATTGTCACACACTCCTGTTACAGTAAAACTCAATTTCACTAGCTAACATAAATACCATTCTTTGCTTTCATATCTTCAAATACAAAAATACCTCATTTAAAACAAAGTCACACTCTTGTGTCTGCGAGTCAACAGTGCTACATTAATCTCCTCCCGGAAATGTGGTCGGGGGTAAAAACAAAGTGGAACAGAAACATTACATATTCAGAACTGACACCAGGTCACATTTGATTGCCTCTGCGCTGAGGCAACACCGGGATAAAAACTGAATGATGGTTCACATTCCTCGACTGTTTCACATTAATGAATTACACAGGAGCTGCGTGCATAGTGGCTCAAAAAAAAAAAAAACAACTCAGTGATGTTGAATAATGAGGAACTTAAATGCCCAGAACAGAAATACAGAAATAAGCGAACCTTTCCCGAGTCAGGATTATGCACATTTGAAGGGTTCATCATGGATTTCAGTGGACAGCACTTTCACAAAATGTTTTAGCTGCAACAAAGGACGTTTTATAAACATTTTCAAGTTATTGTTTGCTTTCTGGCATACAAGAATGAGGGTTATCCTGAGTTACTAAATTTCACATGTTAAATGTAAGGAGCACATACGTAATGAGCATACAAACAAAAAGCGGTTTGGTTTTTTAAGCACTTTTCAAAGGATGTCAGTTAATAACGGAGTGGTTTTGCATAAAAGCCATTTCTATGGAAAACCACACACACACACAAAAAAGACACACATATATAAATCTCTTTCCACACAAAATGTACACACAAAGAAAAATAGCCCTGTTGTTATTTTGCAGCTCCTAACTGATCTGCTATTCGGAAAAATTAGGTTTCTTTTAAGCATCTGTACCAACAAGTAAATACAAGTGAAAAAAAACGGGATTCTGCAGTCACATCCCACATCATTTGTATTGAGGGACAGAGGCACATTCAATATGCATTAATGGCCTGTGGTGTTCTGCTTTTGAAGAATAGAGACCAGACAGAGAGCTGTATCAGGACTTGTAGTCTGGAGAATAGAGACGCGACCTGGGGCTGCTGTTTGGGTCCGTCCTCGGTGTTGTGCGGTTGAAAGAGTTCACAACCGGAGAGTCTAAACCTGAAAAAAAGAGCAACAAAGAGCACAGAGTAAATAAAGACACTATTGCTCCTTGGTGACTTGTAAAGCCACGAGGTTTGGGCACTTTGTGTGCATGACAATAAAGACTCAAATCAAATAGACCAGACACTTTGTGGAGAGAAATAAACAAGAAATATGTGGAAATCAGTTGCTGGTTGTTAAAGGTAAACTATCGAGGCTTTTCCAAACACACATAAAAATTGATTCACTTAAGTATGGCAATTTTTAAACACTTTTTTATGCCTGAATCAATATGATTCAAATGCTGAGGTGGAAACAAGTTGCTCCCTTTATTCTGGCAGTTTAAGAGTAACATGACGTCAAAAAAGCCGAAGCATGAAAGCAGTAAACAGTGCACAGTCTGAGGACAGACCTTCAGCTGCTTGATTAGCAACTGCAATTCATCCAGCCCAGTGCAAACTCCCCACCAGATCAGCAAACTGTCTCTCGCTGTGGTAACACAGATGAGATCCAGCCTGCTGTGAACTCTGGCTGAGTTTGAGTTGATACAGCCGCTACTGACGGTCCGCCGCCAGAGCTTCCGTCCGCTCTCCTCCTGGCAAAGGGTATTCTAGTGGCGGGGAGTGAGTTGGAGAGACCGTGGGGTGCACAAGCTCACTTATTCATCTTATTTGTGGTTTGTATGTATTGCCAGCCTCCTTATTCTAACCTTCCCGTGTAATCAATCTACTGCTTATCTATTTATTTTGGTTATGTGACAGTAGTTAGTTGCTAGTTCCTAAAATGTTGAGGCAGAGGGTACGTGCTGTAGCTCTGGTTGAGGGTGAGAGGTTGTCAGTGAACAGAGATCTGTGTGGGTACATGAGACCCTAATAAAGAGGGTGGATCATGGGGAGTACCACCAGTTGGTCCAGGAGCTTTGCCTCAATGATGGCCGTTTCCAGGCATATTTTAGGATGACTAGGGAGCAGTTTGACAACCTGCGGTCTATTGTTGGGCTGTATAGCTCTGGGTATCAAGTGACCACTACCACCAGTATCTCCTCCATTGTTTACCAACTGTAAACTTATTGTTGTGACCACCACAGAAGGCCCGCCTCTCAAATGATCCGATTGGACAATGGGGAAAAAAGATGGCGACAAAACAGATGATATGGGGTGTTTTTCTGCTTTGAGTTGAAGTTTTTTCAACTTGAGTTCAGAGCACTCTGGCAAAAACGCCAGGCTCCTAGAGTGCAGAAACGTGAGGCATGTAGCAACGTAAAAACCACGAGCAACAGAGACTCTGCCCTCTGCCTGTATTTTTTTGTTTTCTTATTTTGCTATGTTCGGGACGTTTCTGGGCACAGTGTGCAAGTGACGTTGGGATTTTATAAAGAGGTAGCGACCAGATACGAGGCAAGCAACAAGTATCCAAGAGGAAACTACAAAAATTGTGGACACAGTGCTTAAAAAAACACGCAAATATCGAGAGGTGAAACACCAAGCTGACAAAGACTCAGGTTGGTTTTCACTTTCACTGGTAATACTGTTGAGAAACAGTGGCTCACATTTCCTGCACAGTGCACCTTTAAGGTTGACAAATACAGCAGAATTTAAAAAGGAAATAAGGAAATACCCCTTGGTTTAAAAGTCACACACGAACAGCCTAATTTGTATTGGAAGCATGTATAGATCTCTCTCAAACATACTGTAGCAGCCAGAGCACAGGCCATAAATTGTGATATCAAACACCGCCTGCGGCAGAGTCGTTCACAATAAATTGGAGACTTGGGGACTGACACAACGCTTTTTTTTGCTTGGTTTTACATCCAGATGAGCTTTAATTTACGACGGGTGAGTTGGCATTTCATCAAAAAATCTATTGTGACTGCCAGAAAATTGTCCTGGATGCTGTCAGACACCTCTTCTATCTTTTCTAATTAATTCTCAGTGGAGCTTTACAGCCTCGTGGCGTCACACTGTGTTAGGGGTTGTACAAACTTCTCTTTACTGCTTTAAGAGCAAAGCGAGATGGAGCTCAAATTCTGACATGTAGCTGTATATCCCTTTGAATATATGCCTAAGTCTTTATTTACTTAATAGCTGTGGTATAAAGTGTCACAGTGGCAGTGTCCTACCTGAGATGGGTGGCGGTGTCCTCTGGATGAAAGCATGGTGATAAGCTTGTTCCCTTGGGCTGAACACAGTGTGGAGGACTGCAGGGGATAAAAACACATTTAAAAACATCACCACAGTGTTTGAAGAGCTCAGTATCAAAAAACCCTCTTGGGAATCACACAATTTCTTCACAACTTCAGGTGCTTGAAATCGTGACCGCCGTTGACGAACACAGATTTGCCGTGTTGTGACAATGCTTCAGTTTTGAAGGTTACATTGCTTTTGTTACAGTATGAAAGACGAGCTGACCCTGCGGTGTCCTGCAATGTTGGAGGCGTTCGTTTTCAAATGTTTCACAAGCCATTATTACAACGAGAGTGAAATGCATTAAAAGTATAAATCATAACGGACAAAATTAAAACCCCCACAGCCTCTAACACTCAACTCACATGAACCTGATTCCATTACACAAAGAATTACGAGATGAAACTGAAAACCATTAATGTGAAACTAAATATTTAACCTCAGTATCACATTAAATAACCCAGGAGTTTAAACACTGTATTAGTATCATGGTACCTCCAACTAGATCAGTTTTACACAGGCTACAGATCACAGTGTAAAAGTGAACCACCACATCACTGCTGATCGCCACAGAAGACAATGAATATAAAGGGAAACTTTGCTGATATTGAGCCAGCTGTGTGGCATCGCAGTGTGTGCAGATTGACGGTGTTTGGCTTCGCCCCAGTGCTGCTGCCAGCACCTGGATCTCTGCCACCGGACGGGCAGGGATCTCCAGGGGACACAATGCCATGCCACACAGCTGGTTGAATATGAGCAAAGTTTCCCTGCTTCCCTTCACTGGTTCCTGTACAGCAGGGTTGGTCTTTGTTTCACTGTTATAATCATTAAAAAGCAAAAGCAACATGTGTATACATTCAGTAGGCTATATCTTCAGTAGCAAGCTAGCTAACCCTACACTTTTCAGGGTTTGATTTTGGTTTTGGAACAGGGAAGAAACGTATATCTTTTTCCAAACTCTCCAGGTAAAGAGTATCATTAATACAAGACGTGCCCCAGGCACAACATTTAGCTCCAAATCCACAAAACCAGCCTGAAAATGAAGGAAATCTGAATAAATGGAGCACAGACCCTGGTTTGAGCCAACCCAATGCATTGTTGTGATTGGCCAGTCTGCGTCTGGGGGCGGGACTCAGCAAAGGTTCAATTGCCAAAGGACTGTAGCTAGGTATGGTGCAAAGCAATTAACACCAAACCCAGACAACTTCATCTCTCCCCAAAAGGGAAATAAAACTAATCGCTGCTACCTGTACTCATATTACTTTCTTTTAGCATATTGAATAAAAAAAATTATAATTGTTCCCCCAATATGTTTGTTCTCCTTTATAAATAAGAACCAAAATAAGTTGAGGAAGTTACATTAATTAATTTTCACAGCATTTGTACAACCTTGTTTATTCAGTGTCCATGGAAATCACTAATGCAGCCATAAAGGTTTGGTTTCCTCACACAGTAAAGAGAGTCTGTTTACTTTTCTAATAACTGCTCATCAACCATGTTCAGACAAGTTTAATATTTGGTTATCCGTGATGCTGTGTATAAATGTAATTCAAAGATATTGCCGCCTTTTCTGGCACACTAATTTGGTCATACAGTAGATGTCTGGATTTGGTAGGAAAGTGTGTTCGGTTGCACACCATGCTTCTTGCCTTGCTTTTAATGACATCAAACATGTTCTGGTCCCCACTCTCTGACAGAGTGGTAAATATTTTGGCAGCACTGGCTCCCTGCTCCAAAAACACACACACACGATCAATGTATTTTTAGAAATTCTGAATATCATATTCCAAAAAACAGAACAAGGGCAACAGTTGGGAAACACAAATATTAACCATACTCTTTTTTCTACTTATTCAGATCTAGAAATCAATCAAATTCCAAAAATAGCTTTTCCTACAGACATGAGGTGACCCACCGATGATGACGATGGCGGTACCAGCCAGCAGAGCGAACAGAGTGAAGAACATCATCTGGTAGCAGTTGATGAAGCTGTGCAGGGAGTGGCCCCCCTCGATGTTAACAACTGGAAGAGCAGCTGCTGAGAGAGAGCAGAGGACGAGATAACAGGCTGTCAAAACCTCTTCAAAGTGCTGAGGACATACGACGACACTCTAACAAATATTAGCCGTGGCACTGAGGGATAATGATGCTCGTAACAGTGGCAGTGAAATTTGAAATCAGCCTTAAATTATGGTCTCTGAAAATCTGCCTTGTCTGTGTGCTAATGTCGTACAGATGACGGAAAAATGATTGAACAATACACAGAGATTTCCTTGTTAAATAAACTAAACAGACAAAAATGGCTACATTATGAGGTCATGACAACATACAGGTTCCCTTTTTATATCTCATGACTACTCTTAGGATTAAAACTCTCAGTGTATCAGCACAACAGCCCCTGATTTGTACGCCAGCAGGGATGTTCCTCAAATGCCCAGTGCATTCCTGTTGTCCTCAGTAAATTGGGCTACTGTTGTTATATTTACTAACCCGAGATAAGGAAAAGCTATGAGCAACGCTGACAGTCATGACGACAAACCATACGGGAAGTAATGTGAGGCAGAATTTAGAATTTGACACCATAAATGGAAAAACTGTGGACAAAGGCCCAGAGAGGATGTTGTGCTGACGGTGTAAAATGCATCTGCCTTACAGTAACGTAAGCCTGTCACTCAGCGAGGCAGCGGGGGCACCAGGAATTAATGGAGCATTGTTAATTCGACAAAGTATTTTAGGATTAGGCTATGTGGATTGCATGGAAATTAATTAGAAGGGGGATTATGTGTTGCTTCAGATTTGCTCAAACTTTGATTTTTCTTTTAAAAAGGTGACAGCCCTAATACCTTTCCTCTGACCTTAAACAACATACGCTTAGAAATCACCTTGTAACTTGAGGTACAGTGCCTCGTCATTTACACTGAGAAGATATCTGACCTTGCTTGGCAGCGTTGGAATCAGCCATGTGAATCAAAGTGACGGGGATGACGATACCCCGGCTGCTGGAGGTGCTGCTTATGGAAATGGAAGCGGAGCCTGCTGCCTGAGGGTCCACAGCGATGACGGTGTACTTTGAGAAACTGGGGAAGCCGTGGTGTACTTCAGTCTCTCGGACAGCGATGTTGGGGGAAGTGGACACTACCTAAAGGTGTGGAAAAGTGTTATATACATACAGTATACTTTGATCTTTAAGCTGGGGTAGGCTTAAATCTGGAAAAGTTAAAAAAAAGGGCAGAATTTGAGAAGACACCGTCCTCCTGCAGCTCTCCCCTTGCTGTCCCAAGCCACTTCCACCAGACATCCACAGGCATATGCAAGCACTTCCTACAGTAACCCCCTGTTTTCCATATATTGATTTAGTTACTCTTATTTCATTTTGCAGATGGCCACAGTGCATCTGCTCAGCCCCTGGTCGCTGTGCTCTTTCTCTCTATGTTTATCAGACCACAAATGGTCAAGACCTAGCTAGCTAACCAGCCCACGGTCCCTCTGCCTTGCTGTCCACCGCTGTGGACTGCTTTGCTAGGAGGAGAGCAGGCAGCAGCTCCAGAGATGATCCTTGGTGGTAGCAGCTTCAATCCAGCCATGGCCGGCAGCAGTGCTGGGTCTAACTGTGTAACGGTAGCATCAGAGTTTGCTGATCCAATGCAGAGAATGGGTTGAGGTTTGCGTTGGCCCGATTCTGGTTGCTGAAGGGGGGTTAGTTTCTGGAGCTGCTGCCTGCCCTTCTCCCGATGAGGTGGTCTGTGACGGCAGGGAGTGTTGCAGATGTTCGCTACATAAACTTGAAGCCAAACCCAGAGCCTTTAGCTAAAGTTCGCAGAAAGCGAAACTATTAGCAACATTTTTAGCCGCTATTGAATTTATTTTTCTAAATGGAATTTATTATCAAACTCTTTTCAGATTGTCTTTTTGATAAGCCTTGTGTTGTGGTTGCTTTGCAGCGTAGGCAGTTGTTGCCAATGCTGGAGAAGCAACTTTCTCTGCATCTGCATTTATAAAACAGCCATAAAAAATGGCTTCTCTCTGAAATGACCTGTGATTGGCCAAAGTCTACAGCCGCAGGCTGGATTCTGTAGAGCCTGAAATAGAGCCAGAGGAGGAGCAGAAGTCTAGAGTTCTCTCAGACCTCTTGCATTACAATATGCTATAAGATTATTATGTGAATTTTGACCAGTGATGCCAAAAATAAAACTGCCTACCTCAGCTTAAAAGGAAGTTAATTTTAACAAGGGTAATGCTAAACTGTAAAAAATGATCTGCTATATTTATTAGAGGTTCTACTAGAGGCAGTGTTTTGGCTGACCTCCATGTTGGACAGGGCAGCCGTGGGACCGTAGACGGTGAGTTCAGCTGATGGATGCAGGTTTGAGAGCAGCAGCTCAGTCTGGTCAGAGTAGAGGCCGGGCTCTATTGGCAGCCTGGCGCTGACTTGCTCCCCAGAGAAGGCACTGCCCTCCAGGCCTGCCCTCACCAGCAGGTTGGTCATGGACATGGTGAGCACACGAGTCTGCTGGTCAGTTGCTGGCTGCAAGGTTATGGAACATGTGTAGGAGCCTGGGGCGAGAATTCACAAGAGGGAGAAGTGATGGCTCGAGATAAATTATTGATGTGTGCATTTGGGACAAAAAAAAAAAAAAAAAAAAAGGATCTCACAGCGTCAGTGTGGTCTCAGAGAGGTGAAAGATACATAAAAGCAATATATATTCCCACTCAGCTCTAATGTCCGAATTTGTCAGGGTCATTTTGCAATCACATGCTCCCATTAGGACCTCGGTGGGATTCGGCTGAGTGGTTACAACCTTGTACACACACACACACAGTGGATCCCCTCAGACAGAGGCCAACAACTGGGGTGAAGTCCCAAACCCCAAACACAATTAGACCAGTGCTTCCAAGCAACAAGGAGTCTCCTTAGTTCAATACATCACCTGGACACCTTTTATAGTCCCTGCTAAACTCATTCCATGGATATTGATTATGCCCTTGTAAAAAGTGTTTCCCCACCAGTCGTGCACAGCATACGCATAAACAGTGTGCCCAGGTTGGGTTTAACAGTAACACTATTTTGGAAAACTGAACGCTTCTAAAAAGGTAGAAGATGATGTGAATGTCAGAACAGTCTATTTCAGCATGGAGAGTTAAGAGATGCTAAAAGGTGGTTTTAACTGATCTGTGATGTACATGTAAAAGAAAGAAAACAAAATCAAAACTAGAGGATTTAATCCCGCTAAGACGCCCAAATCGACTCATGTTAGTCATCTAAAACAAGGTTACATCAGTGCTGCAGGAGTAAATAAGGCCTAATGCACTGCATCTGAATAAAATAAAATGATTCAATACTGTCAGATGCTGTGAAAATGCTTACAGCCTATACACAGATATAAAAGACTTGCTGCTCCTTTGACCATGGCTGTGATCTCTGGTGTGAATTCAGATCAGCCTTACCCGTGCTGGAGTCAAAGCTGGTGTGCGTTTTGAAGACATCATTAGCGGGGAAGTCAATAGCATCACTGGTGAAGCTGAGATGGCAGCTGACAGAGCTTTCTGGCTGCAGCTGAGAAATCGCTTTGGTCTGGGCAGAGGAGCAGGTTCCTGCAGAGCAGAGCAGAGCAGAGCACACTGGCATCAGATACAACACCTGTGCTTCATTACACACTTTGTTACTAGGTCAAAAATATATATATATATGAATATTAATGGCTCTCATTTATTTGTAAGTATTTTAGGTAAAGGCTGTTAGAAATGAGAGCAGAGAATTTTGGGTAATACGCTTACTCACTTTGTGTTTGAGAGTTGCATAAAAAGATTGATGCCACTCTCATTTAAATATGAAGCTACAGCCAGCAGTCGGTTAGCTTAGCTTAGCACAAAGACTGGGAACAGGTGGAAACAGCTAGCCTAGCTCTGTTTGAGGGCAACAAAATCCTCTAAAGCTCACGAATAAATACATGAGATTTTGTTTGTTTAATCCATCCATGAGCAAACAACAATTCGCTGCTTCATGAGGGAATGTGTCGGACTATTTATCTGCTCTGTGCAGTTGCCAGGCAACCAGTGCACACTCTAAAATTGCAGGTCAGCACATATCCATCCTTATAACAGTGAATTGTTGATTGTCACTTGGGTTTTTGTACAGATTCAACAAACGAGACAAAACATTTTAAAAGGTAGGGAAGTGAAAGCAAACCCAAAAGAGATTCTCTCTCATTTTGGAACAAGTTTTGTCCGCTTGCCGATTAACCTCGCTTTTTCTGCGCTGTGTCCGCAATTATCAGAGCTCTTTTGTGGATACGTGCTGCTACTACCTGGCCACTACCTGTGCAAAAAGCCCGACCTCACCTGGGATTACTTTTGTATGAGTCTATACATTTTTTAGGGAAAATCCTGCATAGTCCATGCTCAGAAATTAGACTTTAGAGGTGCTGGAAGGTGAGAGCCAGGCTAGCTGGTTCCCTCTTTTATTCCCCAGTCTTTGTGCAGCGTGCTAAGCTAAGCTAACAGACTGCTAGCTGTAGCTTCATATTTACCATACCTTACTAAGAGTGGTATCAATCCTCTGATCTAACTTTTGGCAAGAAAGCCAGTTAAGTGTATTTGATGAACTATTCTTTTCACAAATGCTGACTACATTGGAATCAGTTCAGTACCAATCAGGTTGGTTCCTCTCTCTCTGGTGGTGAGTATGACCTTTGACTCCTTGCCGATCCTGACAGGTGTAGCCTGCGCCATAGCAGCTGTCCTTGTAGCTGCTTCAACTACAACCTAAAGAACCAAACAGAGAAAGAAAACAGCCAATAAATCCTTCAAACAGATTCAGGTGTGTGCTTGGAATAATCACATTATAATTTACATCCACAGCTAATTGTTTACATCAATCAGACCTGACAGTGCAACAAAACTAATTTAAACACAGCTGAGTGTTTAATGTAACATCACTGCTACCTCTATCAACGCCTCTTCTCACACTGAAAAAAAAAAACTTCATCGCTTCATTCAGTTCGTTGCGTTCGATTGCATGTGAGCACCTTTCTGTTGATGATAAAATACCTGGCAACAAATCACACCAGTTCTTGTTCTGCTAATAGAAAATATTCATATAAGATAGCGTGGTTACATTCAGCTCACGAGCAGGGAGGAGCATGACTGGATGAAGTATGGTGACACACTGAGAGAGAGCCAATTAATCCTGTCCACACTCCATCATGTATGAGAATCTCAACAGCGGTAATGTCAAGCACACACATTAAGCAGAAATAATGTGTTGCTGAAAGGTAATGATGGATATACTATACATCTGCTGTGCCTTTTATGCTCATTATGATATATTGCCGAAGGACTGATACAGTACGATGCACTGCTGGACAGGAACAGAATCTCTGGAGAATAAAGATGTCGAGAGTAGAAATAAAAAAACGGAGAGGTGTGCTGTTTGCATAATTATCGCATAACCTGATAGCTCATTCCTCACAGTCATGACTAAAAGGGATGCGCAGTCTGTCAGTGAAGCATTGCAGCTTAGATAGTCGCCAACGCCTTCAGATAACATACCTCTCTGTATGTTTTCAAAACACCGGGTATCTCGTAGTACACAGTCACCGTCCCGGAGTCTCTGGCCACTGCTGCACCACTTTTAGGGTCCACCTGAAGAACGCCATTAGCTGAAGAGCTCCAAGTGCCATGAACACCTGCAGAGAAAAGACAGATAATGTCCAGTTCTTAAAAAATACACACACTTTGTTAAAACAAACTTAAGGATCTCCTCAGCTAAAAGTTAAAATGTAAATGGACTTAAGATAAATAGCTACTTCATTCTTAAAGAGCATTCAGTAAAATGCAGTATCAGAAATATTCTAATTCCACTTAGTCACAGAGAACAAATGAAATAAATTTTAACAGCATAATGGTGGTGGAGGAGCACAAAAGCAGATAATACACTACGAGGCTGTCATCAATGGAGTGCCAAATCTTTACTATCAACTTAAAAGGAGCTGTACGTGACATTAAGAGCATATCTATGATTCATGAGTCTGGGGCAGGATACTCTGCACATGGTTCCCAACATGGAGGGAACTGTGTGTTAACAACAGCAACAGTGCTGGAAGAGCTAACATTGTCACCAAATGGGACCAAGATGGTGACCCATTTGGAAACTCTTATATTCCAAAAACAGATCATGAAATGTGTTTCCGAAAACATTTTAAGCGAGAAATAAGCCATGTAGTGTAGTTGCTTTATCATTTCAGATCAACAACGATTAGTTAAAACGTGTTTCTGGAGGTCCCTGAGGCTGTGAGTCATGCCGGACGCCCCTGATTTGCATTAAGTTGCCGAGATTCAACTTCATGCAAATGAGAAACAGATCTACCGTCTCTCAAAACACAACACAAGTGCACGCCATGGCCTCTTACAAGCATGGAAATGATGGATCCTGTGAACTTGTAATGTACCTCGAGTGCAGTGCAGAGTGGCGGCGATGAGCTAGCCAGTGGGATAAACACAGAGGGACTCACATGCACTGACATGCATTTGCAGCCTGCACAATACCACAACAACCCAAAAAGAAGCTCAGAATACAACACACAGAAGGAGCAAGACTTCATTCTCTGCTCAGGACGCCATTACTCCGCCGTATCTTTACATATCAAGTGGTGGTTTGCTGCTCTGAATTTTGCACACAGCTCCTTTAAATGTCTTTCATCTGTTCAAAATCATTATTTTCCGACCACTAACATACATTCAAAACAGTCTGCTGCTTTAACATGTACATGTCTCACCATCTGGGCTGGTGAGCTGGGCAGCGAAGCAGACCACATCCCCCACCACCAGTCTGTGGGCCTCATCGGGGTGGATGGCGTGCTCGACAGGTAGTGGAACGTAGTCCGCCACGCCCATGTTTTCACTGTCCCACACTGCAAGAAGAGTGAGGCCTACGTTGATCGTCCGCACTGTCAGAGTGTGGTTACCGGGCCCAATCCCTACCTGCACCAGGTCGTCTCTGCAGGACAGAACAGAGGTACGGGTTGAATTACGTATGTGTAACTAATCAACTTATCAATAATAAGTTAATTTCAGACACAGTGAAGAGACTACTTGTTATATTTAAAAAATACATGAAACTCACATAAAAAATGACACAAAATGTATTAAAAAATGTATCTTTTAGTAACACAACATACTGAACATCAACACAATAGCACAAAAAACCTGCTAGTATTCCCTGCTTCACCTATTTTCATTTATGGGAGAAGCAGGTGAATCTATCCTCCAACTCAGCTCAGTGTGGAAGTGTTGTTACTTGAGAACTCGGTAAGCTGGGTAAAATTGGGTCAATACTATTAGATATGCTTAAAACACAAGCTATTGAGAACAGTTCTTACCAGCAAAGAATACTTAGCTGAGTGTTTTCATTCCTTCCCGCTACAATAGTTCTACTCTATCTATATATTTTCCTCTGAATAAATATCTTGTTTTGTTTTATTTATCTGTTGTGAACAAACTTCAGATAGCTGTAACATCTGATTGGCTCCTCGGAGACTCAAAAGGATCTAATCACAGGCCAGCCCCTTTTAGTCCCAAGACTACCCGCACTTTACTACTCTGATTTTTTACTTTTCCCCTAAAATTGCCCGTCAGCACCTGGAGAACGAGGTAATAGAATCAATTTATTGTGCAGACAGATGAGGGAGTCCCTCATCGCGAGGGCAGCAATGCTCCTCCCTGCCCGACACGCCTCCCATTAATTTAGCTTACTCACTGAGGTGGAAACAACTCCATCAGAAATGAGGTTGAAGGGACAGCCCAGTAAATTAATGTTGTGAACTCGTGGCGCAGCCTGCCGCTAAACCCTGCCATGACCTCGACTACTCTGGTTGTTCTCTGCAGATATGATCGCACGCAGGCTGAACCAAAGACCAACAGCACGGTGCATCACAGCAAAGACTAGGTAAAGACTGTCAGCGCTGGATATATCTTGTGCGAATCGATATCATAAGGACACAACATGTCAAATACGTACAAAAAAAAAAATCAATATTGTGTCAAGAATCCTTGTTTTTCATTTTAACACTGGCTTAACAATGATGGACAAACACATGCCTAATAAAATGAATTCACTGTTCAGCCGGTAAAGGGTGACTGGTGGGATTTCTCTGGCAGATTTTGAATTGTGAGGAGACATTAGGTCACACAAGGCTGTGCCAGGTTGAATGAACTGATCACTCAAACAGAGGCTTTGGTACTCTCTCTATATATACACATAGCCAAGAACTTTAGGGCAACAAGCAAACTACAAAACATAACCTCCTCCCTCCTCTGCTTGTCTAGAAGTCACTCCTTAACTCACAATGTTTATGAATCACGTAAGTAAATGACAGCAACATGGTGAGAAGTGTTAAAGACTGTGTGTTAGCAGACCTGTTTGTGGAAAACGTAAGCTGGGAGTTGGAGCTGTGGAGGGCCTCTCCGGTGCTGGCGTGAAAGTGCACAGTGAAGGTGAGCACTATGCCCAGGGGGAAGGCTTTCAGGCCCTCTTTGGTGTGTGTGTAGAGCACTGGAGTGGTGCTGAAGCGTACATAGGACACAGGGACAACCTGAGGAATGAAGGGAAGAATGAGTGCCGCGCTCATTAACTGCAGGGACAATGTCAGCTGTCATTTCAAGGGTCAATACTGCTGTTAATGATCACAGAGCATCCACACACCTCAGCCCAATGAGGATGAGCCTGTAGCTGATGTAACAATATGTGGCTCTAAATGACTGATGACGGAGATGCCACACAAAGATCTATGATATCAGAATATGCCTTGTGTTTTCTTGTTAAGGTCGAATGAATGGGAAAACAGGGCTTTTATGTTCAACCATTTCTGAGGTTTGTTGTTTGTTCTTATAAATAAAAATGGACAATTGATTTGGGGGTAAAATGCAAACAGAAAATAGAAAAGCAGCATTTTTCTTATAGCCTGTATGCCAGGTTAGTGCCTGAACGAACACTTTTCAAACACCTACACTTCGAAAGGCTCAATTTCCAGCCCTGCAGTGCACTCTGTCATATTTCCTAATAAACTGCCATATCGTAATTTAGTGTTCAACCCATTTTAATTAAACTGGGCAATTTGGATGTGAAAAGTTTCAGCAGACTGACAAGCACGTCTTACATAATAACAGCAGGTAAGAGGTCGCTGAAAACAGATTTTGGATAATAACCAGAGGATGTTGCTTTTAAAACCACAAATGTGAAACACTTTTCATGCAGTGGCTGACTGACCTTCAAAGCGAGGATGAGAGTTTGATTGACACCAAAGGTCTCTTGGGAGGTGATCAGCAGAGAGGAGATGCCAGTAAGAGAGCCAGAGGAGAGAGAGCCCTTATCATCCACTTGAGCGATAACAACCTGGTCAGGGCAATCCAGCATCCGGTAAGACAGTGCACCTACACCATCCCTGTTAGAGAAACACGATCGCATCAGGTTATGTGCACGTTTACATCGTTTTGGAATGATAGCCGGTAGAGAAATCCACACATCCGCCTATACACTAGACAAAAACTACTGTGCAGGCACTCGTAACTCACCTGCTAGTTTGGAGTTTGAGGGCTGAGTTGGGAGCCATCAGTAACTCCCCGGCCTCCACTTCGGGATTAAGCATGTGTAGCTTGTCATAGACCTTGATCAAAGCAAATTTTTGAGACTCCAATTATTAGAGGGCTTTAATCATTCTTTGATGTTTCGGGACAAGTGACATGTCATAGTTTAATGCAGTTTGAAGCTGGATGCATTCAGCTCAAACTAATCTGCCTTCTTATCACTTTGAAAAGTTAACAACTGCAGATATTCCGAAGCTCAGCAACTTCAGTGCTCTGCTGCCTCTAATGCCAGCTTTCTCTATTATGAAGAAGCAGCAGGGGGACATGGTTATGATAAGCAAAGTAGTCCATAAAAGAGGTCTTTATAAAATATCTGCATTTACAGTATCTTTAATTCTAGTGCTCAGGACACACAGATACAATGTTTACAGCGCTTTTTTTAGGCCACAGAGCTGTACCTGGATCTGGATCTCATCCCTGAGCTCCTGCAGATTCCCCACCAGCTGCCCAGCCTTGGGGTCTGTAACTCTGAGCACCACCTTCAGCCCTGTCCGCCCTCTTGTCTTCCCAGTCACCCTCATGCCGAAGTTGTGCTCTGACTGAAGCTCCACGTTAGCCTGAAGGAGACAGGCGCCATTAAGAGAATGGCAAAAATAGCAGCAGCAAATCAAATAAAAAGGCAACAGTGATGAGGAAAGCGGGGACAAGACAGAGCCTGACAAGGAAGTGGAGACGAGGCAGATGCTGCTTTTGAGTTCTAATCATACTGTATTGCAAGGACAGCACATCTTAAGTCAATCTGATAAAAGGATCGAAGAGACAACAGGAGCCAAAAATAGGAACGGTTCAGTGGCTGAAACTGCATGTGACATCAAATGCAAGAGAGAAAATACTGAGTGCAGGATACCTCGGTGTGTCTCGACTGGACATCCAGGATGTCTCTCTTGGTGGTGGACCACGTGAAGGTGAGGCCAGGTACAGCGTTACCAAAGGAGAAGGGTGTTTGACTGTTGGTCAGACCCATCACATATACAGGCATCTAGAAAAGGAAAGAAGATGAATGAAGGCAATCAGTGAGTACAATATTGCTTATAGAAAAAGAGCGAGAGTGTATCATTTAAAAAATTAAAATACCATAAAAAGTGATACCAACAAGATACCCTTAAAGTGATACCGACACCAATAGCATACTCCATATGATACCCATGTGTAGGTCAGGCATGCTTTTGAACATTTTGGTGGCATTTTGGCACGCTGAGCTGCCAACACTGTCAAATACATTGTGCTTGACTGTACCACACCACAGACTGTATGGGTTGTAGCTGCTGGAGTGTGAGCTCTGCATCGGGGACTGTTAGTGAGAGTCTATCCGGCCACACACACAGCGACAGGGCCACCATTAGCATCCAATGACAAAAATAACTTGACGGTTATTAAGGGATTCAAAGTGAGTCCAGCCGTTTTGGTGTTGGTATGAGTTTTTTGGGACCTTTAAACAACTTGGTGTTGGGATAGTTTCACTGCTGCTATTTTAGCTCGTGCTAACTGTGGAGACGTTGAACTGATTGTCCGATGGGAGAACAGCGGCTCCGGATACAGCAGTAACAGAAAGTTTGCCGATTCAGGGTGGTCTGGGATCACACCCTAGAAGCAAAATGGACTGAATGCAGGTATCGTTTGATGGGAGACATTATGATTTTACTTGCTACTGGTATATTTTGGTAGATACCTTAAATGTACAAAATGTAATGTTCTGCCGCTATGGTATCTCTTAATCAAATCACTAAGCAGTAGTTTTTTTTACCAGGACCCAAATTATCTGCAGAGGTTTCTTCCCCTCCAAAACAAAAGGACTCAGTGATTTAAGCCAGTAAAACACTGAATAAAGCAGTATCACAGTAAGTTCTTTGACGGTTTTCTGCATGGAGGAGCTGGAGCTGAGCTGCTGCTAACATTTGCTCAGCTTGTTTCCCTGATAGCTTATGATTCTGACATTCTACACTGAAATCCTTCATCCAGTTAAAATATATAAAAACAACCAAGTATTGTAAAAATGTGGCTTTAAACTGGATAAAAAGTAAATTTATGACCACTTCTGGCAGACACCACAACCCTGATACATGCACAAATGGATATGACACCACTGACAGGAGATAGCAACCAAATGACACGGACTGTGTCCTTGATGAAAATTACAGATTTCTCTGGGCTTGAATATCTTTGAAATTTGACATTATAAGTACATAATTTAATATAATATATAACATTGATTTGTCATTTTTAGACATTTTAATGTGGAAAAGCTATATATATATATATATATATATATATATTATATTTTTGAAGGCATCCAGCACCAATACCCTGCCCCATACAAAGAGCACTGAATTAACTATCTTGCTGCAGTGCTACTGTGTGCAGTAATACTTAGATTTGGGGTAATTTTATATTGTAGTTTTTATCAGAATAATCCTACCTGTGTTTTTGTCTTCATTCTTGTGATAGGTGCTCTGATTCGAATGGCTGTCAACTGCACAACCTCTACTTCCACTTGATCCTGTACACAGAAGAGAAAACACTTTTCATTAGAAAAATCTAAATCAGCGATACACCATTCCACATCATCGCTCTCTATATATTTACCTGAGACACAACAACTAGCTTCCCGGTCTCGGCATCAATAGCTTGGACCAGTCCTGTCACGGTGACATTCCCAATGGTAACACCCCTGACATGGCCCATGCCATTAACCGCAGCTATTTCCTCATTGGAAATAGAGAAAAGGATATTGGACTGAGGCTGAGGGCCACCCTCTGATGTGATCTATGAATGACAGCAGAAATGAAAAGGGGACGGGGAGTTTGGAAGAGAGAAACAGGAAAAGAGAGAAAAAGTGAACATGAGTGATCTTGACAGCACTGACAGTTCAGTCGATAGCTTTCATCAATCTAAGGTCTGTTAATAATTTGCTGAAAGACATTACCCTATGTGTATTAAGTAGATTAGAAAAATTGATATCCAACACAAATAATGTGCAGTGCATGTGTATTACTGAGTTTAATGTTCGGTAATTAGGAGGCCTCTTGGATAGATCGTAAATGCCTTCTAATTAAAGCACAAGTTGAGGCAAATGAAAGGCGAGCTGGATGTTTAAACCAAGAGCAATTAGGCTAACGTCATCTTCCAGAGGAGTCCTGGCAGAAGGCTCTTTTGGAAGATAAACTGAGGACCAGATGAACTCGGCTGGCAAGACAAACTGAGGCCAGCTGTTTCCAGACAAAGCTCAAGCGTCAATGTTATACATACCTGCATCATTGCGCCAATTAGCAGAGTCATTTTCCTTGGGATGAGTTTGAACGGTGGAAATACCTGGAGGTGGAAAAAACAAAGTTACAACATGTGCAACACATATGCAGGAGTCAACATTTGAGCTTACATTTTAGAAAACACACAAAGTTATACCTCAATTTGCTGAGGAGCTGATGCAATTTTTCTCCCATTTTTATCCACTACAACAGCTGATAGAGTTGTCTGACCAATAGACGATCCTTTCACCAGGAAAACAGCTGTATCATACTCCGTGGACTCCGGTACTGGTCTGCAAAAAAAAAAAGACAGTTGGGGTTTTACATGAAGTCTTGCAAATTCCTGCATCCTCGACCTGAACAACTGGTTTCACGTGACTTACTTCAGAGAGACGATTGAAGAAGCTGCTTTAAGTTTAAGATTCATGAAACGGAAATAGCTGGCTGGGAAAGGCTTCTTATTATCATCCAGGACTCTGACATAAGCTTTCACAGATTTGCCGATCTCCACCTGTAATACAGATGAAAGACATCAATCATGGGGGAAGTTATCATTGTGGTTGACAGGTGGGGCACAACCAATGATGTTAATTCAAAACAGGCAGACTTTAACGAATGTTGGGGTGGAAAGTGCAAGAAGAAGATGACATTATTTAGCGCTTTGGACGTTATTGAAGCATTTCAGGAATGTGTGGTACTGAAAACAGGGATCATCAAGTCAAGCTGTGTCTTGACCCTCCATAATGAGGGATTCTGGGCAGGGTTCGACATTAACCACTGCCTGATGGCCTGTAGCCACAAAAAGCTACTCTCTGGCCACCAAGTATCCCCTCCACCAAGTTTTATCAGGTCTCTCGAGATTACCTGTCTTAATAAACGTAAAAAAATCCTGATACTTCAAACCTTCTCCAACACATTGTCACAGTTGACAAGCATCCCTATTCATTGAAGCTTTTAATTCAACATTCTACGAAAACAGTGAATGGTGCTCGATGCCAGTGTTTTGCTTTAAGGAATGACTGTGTTAACTGGTGACTTTCAGTCTAATTCATCATGGTTGCTCTCAGTGATGGCAGCTGGAACACAGCATCCTCATTAAAGCTTCTGGTTTTACTTAAATTAATTTCTAAATACATACCCATCTGTTTATTTTCTATGCCAACCTATTATGTAAGTTACTAAGAGCAACCACTGATGCATTTGGCTGAAAGTTTTTTCAGATCTGTTGAGGATTTTGACATGTGGGCCACCAAAATTGTTCTTTGGCCACCAAATTAGGGGCTTGGTGGCCTGTGGGGGCAGCGCTTAAATATATTAGCGTCTATTCCTGATGGGGCTGGAAGCTCACCTTGTCAACAACTCTCACATAAACCTCCAGAATGTCAGAGACGTGCACTGTGGCCTTGGCAGGTGCAGGAAATGCCAGACAAAGGTCATGGACCATCACCTTCACCTCCCCTGGGTGAACAGGAGAAACCTGGACAAACAAAGCAAATTAAAGTGATAGCTGACTGTCAGAATTCCATTTCCATTCAGCTGACCCATTTTTGAGTAGTGGTGTACTTTAATCCATAATCCAGGCTGGATTACCTGGATTATGGATTTCCCGGAAATCCACAGTGCGTTGTTCAATACCACAATTGTGTATCCCTCTGAACTAATCCCATCACAGTCCAGACGTTCCCTCTTACCTGAGCGGTTCCTTGGGCCTCCTGGAACACCACGTCTGCAATCCCTCCAACACTGGTGTTGACAAAAAAGTGCCCTGAACCTTCTTGCAGGGCGAGGTTTGCCTGCAAAACAAAACACAATTGATGCCTTGTGTGACAGAGCTGAAAATGATTATATGACCAACATGATTACATATTACAGAGCAATCCAAAAAAAGGTTTTTTTTTCTGACAGCCAGCTGGCCTTTCATGTGACACCAAAAAGGACCTCTGACCACACTCACTCTCTGTAATGCTCTTACACAGGTCACTAACTGTAGTTTAACCCCTACACCTGCCAAACACTGCTCCTATAGCACACAGGATTAGGAGGGAGAGGCCTGCTGAGAGAAGGTGGATACAAGACTCAACTGTGCCCACAGCATTGATTATTAACATTTGAATTCATTCAGTTGTTACCAGTGTGATGCAATTAATTTCCATTTCTTGTTCTGCATGGTGAAAAGGCGAAATAATAACCTTTGTTTTGGCAATGCTATGGACCCAACTTGCCTTGCAGCTCCAGGTACGATGTACACAGTTAGACACGCTCTGTGATGCAGTCCAAACAGCTGATAGAGATCTGACGTAGTCTGAATAATAAATAGCCCTAATAGCTTGAAACAAATAAATAAAATGGGTTCGACACAATAAGCTCATAAACCAACACTTAGATGCATCCAAATCTGAATATTATAGTTCTCCCTGGGGTCTACCTGAGCTCTGGCAACCTGCCCTCATATAGAAGAGGTAAAACAGAGAAACATGGGAAAAGAGGGGAGTAGCCACAGGTAAGGCTTCATATTGGATACTAAATTAAATTATATGATAATAAACCCATTTATTAAACCCAAAACACGATGAGGTTAATAAACTTATTATCTAAGAGGGAAAAACAGATACAATTGTCTCCATATTCTGAACAAAAACCAAGTAGCAATCTTTGACGCTGAAAAACGAAGCCAATGTGGAAGTGCCTCAAATGGCCTCTTGAGGCTGGCTCCAAAGGTGAGTCCATCCAATAGACTGTACAAATAATGGACATAGCTTCTGTGATGTCACCCAGTGGTTTGTAGACTCTTGTTTTGAAGTCTCAAGTTCGATAATTCAGCCACTGCTGTCCTGTTTTTTTTTGGAGCCAGAAGTGACCATATTTGGGCGAGAAGCTGATGGAGGATATGACTAAGAAGCCAAGGACGCTATCAGCAGACAGCCTGTCACCCAGAGCGGCCTGCACTTAAATATGCGTAACTTCGGTAAATGGACTTGCACTTGTATAGCTGCTTGTTTGTCTTTCGACTACTAAAAGCACTTTTACACTATGGAGTCACATTCACCCATTCACACACTGGTGGCCGAGGCTATCGTACAAGGTGCTACCTGCTACTTAGTTTAAATACACAGCCATTGGGAGCAATCTGAGGTTCAGTCTCTTGCCCGGGGATACTTGAATTAGTGGGTGAATTAGATAAACATTCCCTCCCCGTACAGTTGTCATGAACGTTGACATTAGCTATAGAGAGCCGTTTTTTGCACCAGGCTGTAGTTTGTCATTTCAACACGGGGGTCTTGAAGTTGCCGCCTGGTCAATCCCCATAGAGCTCCATGTCAAATTGTCTGTGTGTGGTCCTTTTGAGTGACAGATGGGTGCCGTCCATTGACAAGTTGCTACCACAGGGACAACTTTGTTAGGTAACGTAGCCATGATGTACCCCCAGATTTACAGAGTACAGGCAGTAGCCACAGCTGTCACTATTTCAATGTGTTTTCAATCGACAGACGTTGACTGTAACATCTTGGTTGCCTAGAAAAGTCTTGTTCAGCATGTGTTTGTACTAAAAGACCTTTAAAGGATTTACATGTTCAGTTTCTTCTGGTAAGCACATTTTGTTTGTGTGGTTTTCAGCCTGTTTTTTGCTCGCGAAAATTAGCATTAGTATTATCACAATTAACCATAACTGTAAATGCACTATGCTAACTAAGCTAGCAGCTAGCATGAGGGTTAGCCTGTCATCCACATATGGTCACTTTGGGCTCCAAGAATCCAAAATGGCTACAGCCAAAATGCCAAAGTCAAGGCTTCAACACAAATAGGTAACATCACAGTGGCTACTTCCATTATTTTATACAGTCTATGAGTAAAAGAAGCCATGAAAAGTGAGTGTCTGTCAGGTAACCCTTGTGTGGACAGAGAGATAAGCCAGTGATGTATGTGAGGCCACATCACTGATACATCAGTCCCTTACCCGCACATCTGGATGGTTGTATATGGTAACTGTGTCAGGGGAAACCTTCACATCTTCAACCAACAGGAGCTCCAGAGTGGCTGACACAGGGGTCAAAGGGTCATACTGTCCAGAAGAAAAGAAAGAATCAGAAAAGAATTAGTGTAATGATTACATTGTAAGTATTACAATGCAAAACAGGGTGTATACATGAAAAAAGGAAGTGAGTTGGAGCTGGAGAGGATCAAAGGAACAAGAGAAAAAGATTATTTGTCAAATGTAGGTTGCAAGTTTAATGGAAAACAGATTCAATAAAACACTATAACCTGCACACCGACTGCAAACAAATTTATTTAAACAGACATTTCCATTACAGTAGGATCTTCATTCAGTCAAAAACTTCAGCTGACATTAATCTGAAGTGTTTGCAGATAAACAGAACATTATACAGCTATTTTGAATAACTTTCAGCTGCTTCTGCTTTTTAAAGGAAGTGAAAAACTTTTATGACATATCTTAGCAGCTGAGTGACTTACTGGACTGGGAACTTTGGCTGCTGCAAGATGTAAAACCTGATAACCCAGAGCTGTCACTGTGATGGCGGAGATGCCTGTCTGATGATGGACAAGGACTGTCTGTCGTCCTGCCATAGATAACAACAGAAACAAAACAGTCATTTAACAAACAACAATCCAAACTATTTGTCATCACTAATCTATAGAAACTGACTGCAAAAACACAACAAAAAAAGTGTATTCCCAGTAATAGGTGAATGGATAATTCCCTATCTGCCTCCGCAGTCTCAGAATTAAATCCTCCCTCCTGCCTTTGCCTCATTACTTTCCAAATGTCTAAACAAAAGAGTTAAGTTAAGCCGACAACCCACTCTTTTCTAAAAGACACAACAAAATACAAACCAACTAGAAAAGGTTTAAGGCAAATCACAATGCTTTTACCGTGAAGTTTCATCTGTTTGTTGCCATCCTCGAACAGCTGCAGCTCCATGGGCATAGTGGGTTCAATACTGGCCAGCGACACCATGGTCGACTCCCACAGGATGCTCAGAGAGCTGAAGTTGTCAAACTTCCTCCCTTGTTGATCGAAAGCAGCCAGGTCCAAAATGGGATTACGGTAATTTGAAACAGGCACCTAGAAAAGGTAGTGTTGATCAATTCAAAAACATAAATAATCTTATAATGCGCTTATATTTTTTTTCGGTAGTAATTTCAGCTCATTAAAAAAAACCTTGTCGACCTTTGTGAAGCGACTTCATACACACCACTTGTTTATTCTGCTGCAGCAGCGGGCAGGTCAGGTCCAGCTGTGGGCTGGTATACACTGGGACCAGGGTGAGGCGAGATGGAGGGGCACACACAAACTTGACCACTGCCGGCTCCACAGCGGGAAAAGGATTGGTCACACTGGCCTTGTTTCCCACCATCACCTCCAGCACCTAGAAAACAACATATTGGCAGCTCAGTTGGAAGCTGATGACAAAATACCACAGTTGTGTTTCTGCTGTTGGGAGCCACCACATCAATATGAGGACAATCTTGTATACAGAGGGATAACATGAATAACTATAGGACTTTACCCTCAAGATACAAAAAAAAACGCTCTGAAATCCAACCACACAATAGAAACACAATAGTTTCAGCAGATCCCACCTGCTCTCCCAGGGCCTTGCAGGTCGCTCTGACCCAGTGCTGGTTATAGTTGTGAGATGAGGGACTGGTCAGAGTAAGGCTCACACTGGCCTCATCCTCAGCGCTCAAGTTGCAGAAGAACTTCGAGGGTTCTAAAACCCAAGGCCGTGGCCCGCCCTCAAACAGCATGTCTTTCGATGATCCTAGAGTGACCACGGCCACAGACACAGGGTCGATCGCCTGCCAAATAACATTATTTTATTATGAAACATACAAACTGTGACAGTGTGTTTGTCTATTTATCTGTCACGTAAATTCTGGCATGAACACAATCACACACTTAACGTCTATGCCTCCTCAGGCAAAAACTGTGGTCACCAAAGGGTGGGGAGATTTTTATAGACTGACTGACCCACAGAGCCGCTGGTTGCAGCGACAAAAAAAAAACCCCATTAAAGCAGGTATTTGTTTATATCAGCTTGGCCATTGGAGTGTTAAGAGGAACTTAGCTGGGGAAATGTTGCTGAAATACAGTGTTTCAAAGCCAAGACACAAAATTGGGTCAACCTTTAGCTGCCAGGGCAAAACAAGTAAAGAAACATCACAAAAAATGTCTGCAATATTTTGAAGAATACAACTCAATCCCACGATAAAAAAACATGACCTCGAAAGCGGTGCATCAAACAGCATGTTACTGTACTGATAACTGAAATGTGATATGCAAGAAAACCACAGCTATCACTGGTTCACAACCGAGGAGATGCTTCATGATAGGGGATCTGGTCACCTCATCATAATACGTGTCATACTGTTAAATTAAACACTCTTCCACAACAGCTAGAGTCATTTCATTGCTGTGCAGTGCTGGAGCTCAGGCGGAGAAAACAAATCAGTGTAGCAAGTGTATAATGCATAATTAAAATGCAAAGCGAAAAAACCCAGGAGGAGAAAATTTTAACACTCGCTGATCATTGCATTTCTGCCTTGATTGTGAGGAAGGACTGTGTGTTTGGATGTGCGTCTGCTGGCATGAGTGAGTGTGTTTCCTTCGAAGACAAAAGCTAATTGGTGCTCTGAGGTGAGTTGAAAGAATAAAAGCAAATCACAACAAAGACTTCAGGTAAAGTTCAAGATAATTACACCCTGCAGATGCCTCATAGCATTCAAAAAGAGAGAGTGTGAAGTATACTATTAAATAAACAACTGAAATCGACCCGATCGGAAATGGATTCTGGGGGCCTTGAGAAATATCCATAAAAAGGGCGAAATGATACGTCTTGACATTCATGATGAGGTCTTGGAAGGACAAAACCTTTGGACTCACTCTGAGAGGAAGATAGGCAGCGATGGTGATCTTGGCACTGAGGTGGACGTTGCCATGAGTGTAGCTCACAGTAAGTATGGTGTACCCAGGAGCAAGGGCCTTGGCTCGCACCCCGCTACAGTGGTGCTGGCCTGGAGCCAACCTCCCTGGATCAGGACAATGGGGGTTGGAGGAAGCCAAAGAGGAAGAGAGAATGCAATATGACAATGTACAAATAACTACGATTGTTCACCCAGGTGTAGTCATTTATCTTCCTATCGTAAACCACACTGGAGTACAAAGAGGTCTTGTTATTTGTCCCAGCCCACTCCTCTGATTAATAAAACAAGATTTCAAAATGAAAAACTGTAAATCTTGCTAACAGAGGAACTTTCACAGAGATAAACGTTGCCATGACAATCTGAACGACATAAAAAATTTAAAATGCTTCAGAGACTTAAAGAGGATTGTGCCTATAGTGTTTGTCTGCGTTTGTTTGGTATTTGGGTGACTAATATGAATTTGTCTCTACTGAAAAACATTTTTGTATTCATTCTTCCTATAATTCTGCCTTACATAATGTGAAACTGCAGCTGCAGGTGTGAACAGATTAAAAAGTTTACTGCACTAGTGCTTTCATGGGAAATTGTACAGACAGGAATAACGACAGCAGTAATTTAAGTTTTTATTACAGTTATTACTGCAACAACCACAACGAATACAAAGGTGGCTCTCCTACACGACACACTGGACCGAAAACAGCAGCTCTGATTCCCTGCCCGACCCCGACTGGGTCCGACCTACTGGGTTTGGGGCCGGGCTGAGCTGAAATGTCTCAATATTCCCCAAGGCTTGAATCAAGTTGGGTTTTTGCCAATGTAGTGTTTTTTTTTCTTTCTTTTTTAAAAGGAAACTGGCAGTTCTTGTGACAGGAGTTGCAATGGACTGAAACAAGAGGGGAAAGAGAGAGAAGTTGGAGCAGCTGAGAGAGAGGGAGAGTGATGGAAAAAAGCACTATAGTGGAGAACAAGGGGAAAGAGAGTGCAAGCAAGAGAGGGATGGAAAACAAGAGAAAGAGAGAGAGAGAGGGACTGCAAGGTGAAAAATGATAAAATGATATGTGCGCTGCCTTGCCTCAGACTGCTGGTATACTAGCAGATGCACTGAGGGGTGCAGCCTGCTCTGGCGAAGTGGTCGTGTACAATGACAGGCTATTAAAGTAATAGAAGGAAGAGATGAAGGAGTAGTAGGGCTGGGCGATATGGACTAAAATTCATATCTCGGTATTTTCAGGCTGACTGATGATACACGATATATATCTCGGCATTTTCTACAAAATGAGCTGCATGTTCAGTTGCAAGTCAGAGCCACATTTGAGATGTCACACACACTTTCATAAAAACAGACTGATCAAAATAACACTCAAAAACAGTAGTAGGCCTAAATCCATTGTAGGTTGAAATGTTTACATATCTTTGTGGGGGGAGTTAAAAAGTAATTTTCCATGGCCTTTCAAATGAGTCTAGTGCTGGCAAATGATTTAAATATTTTTTATTTATTTAGGCTATTAATCTTATTTATGTACATAGCATCAACAGAGAGGCCGAGGGAAATCTAGTCTGTGATCTATAAATTTTGTTTGTGTTGTCACTGCAGTTTTTAAAACAGATCTGTCGCCTTCATCCAGGCGCTGTCTCCACGTCACACAATAGACTACAGCTACCAACAAGAGCGGCGACGCACTGTGATCCACCTCACACACCAACTAGCAGCGCTGGACTGCATGTGTGCTGTGATAATTTCATTAATTTCACAGGCTTCTTTAGCGTAGCACGTGCAGCATATAGACCGATGTCACACTGTAGACTAATTAACAGACAGATTAAAGAGAGGAGCAGCTCTGTGTCTCTCTTAGTGTTGCTGGAGAACTTGCGAGTGAATGAGTGAGAGTATGAGGGAGGAGAGATGCACACTGGCATGCGTTGTGTAAACCGATATAAACGGTGTTGTCTAAATTTATATCTTGCCTCAAAATATATCCATATATAATGCATAGTCGTTGCCTAGCCCTAGGGCTGAAACGATTAGTCAACTAATTGATGACTAATCGACTATCAAAATAATCGGTGACTATTTTAGTAGTCAACTAATCGGTTTGAGTCATTTTTCATAGAAAAGTACTATAAAAGTACCCCAAAATACTCTTACTGCAGCTTCTTACGTTCAGATATTGGCAGCTTCACACACTCTCCCGTGACAGTGAACTAAAACCCTTTGGCGTGAGTATGAAACAAGACATTAGATGACGTAATTTTGGGGTTTGGGCGAGACAGACCGACATTTTTCAACATTTTAAAGCATTTTTCGATGAAATGATTAGTCAACTAATCGAAGAAATAATCGACAGGTTAGTCGACAATGAAAATAATCGTTAGTGGCAGCCCTACCCAGCCCTAAGGAGTTGTGGTGTGAGCAAACACATCCATCCTTGCTTGAACAAATAAATAAATAAACATACAGTATAGAGTCATGTAGGATCTGGGCCCAAACCAAAGATTTAGCCATACATCAGTAAGTAGACTAGTACACATTGTCATAAAAAGGAGGTGAGCAACATAATAACCCTTCCTATTTAAGCTCCAAACGCATGCATATCCACTCCAGCATTGTTACATAAACACAACCACAATACACTTTCATGCCTGCCTCTGGTTCAGCCAGCCACTCACCAGGGAACAGTCGTGATCACTCATAACTTACACTGATTAACACTAAACAGAGTGATCAATGACTGAGTCCCTTCAATGAGTATCCACTGGTTAGTGAGTTTACCTGAATGTCATTCTCCAGTGGGAGGTAATGAGTGGATTCAGCCACAATATGTGATGACAGTAGATTGGAAATTCTTTTTTGAAAATCTGTTGCACTACAATATGACCCAGTCAGATCACCAGGACTTACCGTCTAGTAGCTGGAAGACGCCGTGGTTCTCCTCCTCAACCTGCAGGTCAAAGTGGGAGCAGTCACTCAACATGACCCGCTCTTTCTCCACCTCCTCCAGCAGGCCGAAAATACGGAGGGGCAGATCCAGAACCAGGCCCACCCTGGCCTCTACTGGGCAAGGAGCGAAGTCCATGGCGACAGGCTCGACAACATACACCTGAGAGACATCAGGATTAAAAAGGTATAAAGGAGTGTTCGATTGAGCGCTGAGAATGAAAGCACAACTGGGAGATTCAAGCTGTGAGACTGCAATGTACTTCTACAGCTGCACAATTACGTTGGATAATTACATGTCACAATTTTATGTCTCTGTGATTAATAACAATGTACTTCAGAAATAATTTATTATCTGTTGTGTTTTCAATTTGCTGGAATGACCTCTTCAAAATACTTCCATTAAAAATGACAAATCACAGTGTTTAATAAAAATTAAAGATGGACGAAGCGGAGCAATCATCTTTGGAAAAAAAAAAAAAAGGCAGTGACAATTAAAGTGAAATATAATCTACAAGTCCAAAGAGTTGTGTGCAGAGTTGTGCAAGCTCTCCCTAATGTTTACACTGATACTGTTTAAGTAAAAAAAAAAAAAGTGAACATCTTTTGCTTTGAAACACGTGGAAAACCAAATCATGCCACACGCATAGGTGCATTTTGTGAAGTATCTGCATTCAAAGTGACTCTGAGTTGAATATAAAGTATCTACTTGGTAGCAAAAATGATGAGGAGCACTTTTTGAGTGTCCCAGTGCTCGTTGGTGGCAGGTGCACAAGACCTTTGCAGGGCTTTTAACAGGGCAAGTCAAATTCAAGGACTGTGAAGCATCTTTTCAAGCACTTATTTTACTTTGAAACTGTTTTCTTCACAAACAAGTGCTGCAAGACAACTGTGCAAATTTATGAATGGAGCAAACATACTGCCAGGGCCTAAAATTAACTTATTATCACTTAACTGGTTGTTATTATTGAGGCATGTGATTGGAAAATAGACATAGCATAGAGTACAGCAGCTGAATTACAGCTCGTGCTAATGGCTGATGCTGCTCTGGTGTGAAACATCCTGGCACCAAAAATATTCTGGCATTTCCCAACCCATTGGCACTCTGAGCTCATTGAGTTCTGTTCTCCTCTCAATTACATTCAAGTACTTTTTTCAAGGACCAGGTCAAAAATGTCTGAATTTCAAGAAATATTTTCAAGATCCAGCACATAATTTCTGAGCACCGAATTCAAGCACCTTTTATGAACCTTGTATAAAACTTTCTTTTAAAAGCCCCGTTTCAATAAACCCTGAAAATTTGGCTTCACTCAAAGATGAAACATGTCAAGAAAAAAAACGTGTGGTTTGATACAACATGAGTTTCTCACAAAAGTCATCACATTTTGATTAAACACTGCTGGTTGCTGACTGGTGCATGGGAGTAGGTGACACCATCTTTTTTCCGACTGAGACTTGCCCGCATTAAACTGGCAACAAGAGACAAATATTTCACATGAAATGGCAAAAACTGTCTTAGCAGAAAATCATGTGAGACCCCGCTGTTCATAGAAAGAGGCTGATTTAGGAAATGGGTTTTCATGGCTTTTGAAATGAAGGTCCACAACACCTGATAAAAGCTTAAGTTGCAACAATATGCGAGTCAATAGCATATATAGTTTTAGAAGAAATGAATGAGCCAAAGTCTTAATCTCCTTAAATCCCTTAGACCTATTTCCGTAGTAATCACTTTGAGGGTTTGAATGTCTACGCTTCAAGTGTAATCTTAATTAATTATTAGTGGATTGTGTAAATGAGAAGTGAATACATGACATTACCTCCTGTTACTGTGACAAACACTTCACTCAAAGGAGGGGGATAACTGTATCTAATGGTGCGAAAGTGCAACTGAATAAATTTGCTTCCTGAAAATAAGAGAATCACCATAAATTGATGAAATTAGTAATGAAAGTGATCAGGATTATTTGTGCCATGACACATTAATATTTAACAGGTGTGTCGTTTCACACTGTGACAGTTTCCCAGGGCCACTTACCTTCATCTGGCCAAAGTGAAGTTGGTTGCGTAAATCATGGGCATAAATTACGCTGACGCCAATGTCACTGACTGTTGTCATCACTCCTTTCACAGTCACTGTGGCCACAGCTGTGTTGGAGGAAGACCAGCTGAAATTTCCACTCCCTCCTGTCGCCTGTCACAAGAACCAGGAAATAGGAGTCATCGCACGCACCAGAGTGACATCTCTTAGTGGGACAATGACAAGAATCACATTCATTTAGAGTTTTATGGCAGGGTATGAATAAGAATAATAAAGTAGTCATTAGCAGGGGCGGAGCCAGGTGGTGTAGACATCTGGGGCTCAGCTCAAACCTGGGATAACAGAATACCCAAAAATCTATACATCATTTGGGGAAATCATGATAGTTGCCAAGGAAAAAAAAAATCACCCTGGAGAGCCTACATCCAATTTTGCATCTAACTGTCCTCCAACTGTCTTCATCATTCTTCATTCAAGCATAACACAACAAATGTGGAGGATGACTTATTTTTCCCTCCTGCCACCTAAAAACAAGCAACTGTCTGAAGTTACTATTTTTAAATGACATTATGCACCTTCCCCACTGGGAAAAATCATCCACTTGCTTCTGGCTTATGTATTTTATGGGAAAGGTTACAATCGGCATTAACTCTCGGGACAAATTACTAATTTTAACCCCTTTGCCAGTGAGATGCAACGACAGGCCTCCACAAAATGGCCTCCGTCCAAGCAGCACCCCAACATTATTCAAAACAGGAGTTTGAAAGAGACACTGAATAAGTAACATAAAAGTAAAAAGTATCACCTGTGACATTTTCACTAGCCTCCATGCACTTTCTATTGTTTGTTTACTAACCTTGTTTTGTGATGTTGTACGTGACACAGCAAACCCACAAAAGCATACTCTTCTACTACAGAGCTATTTACACACCACTGGTCTACTGACAAAGGAAAATAAGTCTATTGCCTATTTATAATGGGTTTTTCTGCTTTTGAAAAGCTGCAATTTTGGTGAAAAAAAGGGCCTAAAAATAACTATATTTGTCATACTATACTAAGTTCATAATATGAACATCTAGCTAAAAAATCTGCTACATTAGAATCCATGCCATATTAATCTGGGCTGCTCTAATTGCAAACCATGATCCCCAGCAATGCAAAGTAAATATGATACATTAGGCCAACAAGAAATAAAGTAGGGTAAAAAAACATAGGAATACTTATTATCTGAAAGCTGAAGGTATTTAAAAAACCTAAAAGATTCAGGGCTTTTGAGAAAACATTCATGGCTGGAGCCCCAGAAGCTATCAGCCCTCTCCACCTCTGGTCACAGTTGCCATTTGCTCACCACTTCCGCCCAACAAAGGATTAAAAGCCAAGCAACTTTTCAATGTATTCTGAAAGGGAATAATTACCTTTATTGTGTACTGATAAGCTCCAACCTTTGGCTGCCATGGAAATGTCAGAATACTGGGAGTAAGAACTATGGGGTTATAGATTTCTACATCCTGTTCATTGTGGACGGGGTTGGCGAGTGCGTGGATCCTTCCAGCCTGGAACAGAAAAGAGGCCACAGGAAGTGATCAAGCTCACTCTACTGAAGTGGAACAAAGGCGCGAGAGGTAAATGCAATAATGATGCGACAGCTGAAATACAGAGTGAAAAGGGTCAAAGTTGCAATTAAACTCACTTCATCCACAACAGCTCTCAGGGTGGCGTCGATGAGAGTTAGGCCCTCTTTGAGCGCTCTGACGCGATGATATGATCCATTCACAGAAGACTCCAGGAGTTCAAAGTACTCCGCGGGGAAACCAGTTTCAATACGGACATTCTGCAAAATCAAAATCAACCACACACAGATTTTTAAATTACTGCCTTTGTACGACTCTAGATGGAAGCCTGGCTTCAAACTTTTACAGACTCGGAGGTTATTTTTTAAAGTGTGTCAAGATTTTGATTTGTTCCTACTTCAACAGTGACAGTTCTCTCATCACCGGTTTGATGTATTGGCTAATAAAAACTCATAGCTCAGGAAAGGAAGGCTCAGAGTGCACTAAATCACTCTTCTCTAATGTCTCTCAGATGTGTTTCAGGCTGCATCTGATTAAAGATGACCAAATCTTTTTTTTAGTTTTTTGTTAAACAGGAACTGAAAAAATCCGATTAAAATATTTGGAATGCATGTCTGTTAGCTGACCAATGCCATGAATGGAAACAAGCGAGAAAAACAGTTTGGCCTATGTAACAGTAGTTGTGTTTTGTCAATTTACTAATGATGAAATGTGAAATATTGGTCACCGCCTTGAAGTCATCTTTTCAAGTGATAGATTAGGGCTGGGCGTTATGTAGAAAGTCAAACATCATGATATTTTTGACCTAATTTCCTTTGTATCCTTATTGCAGGGCTGACTAATTGTGCTTTCACCAAGTATTTACACAATTAAATTTTGGATAAATATCATCAGTAATGTGAATATAAAGTGTGAACTGTGAGAACAGTCTGTCATACTCATAAGGCATACTTACATCAGAGAGGTAAATTTTGTTGCCGGATTTATCAAAGACTTCAATGAGGATATCATAAACTTTGCCTGTTTCGAGTACCCAGCTGTCTCCTGGGTGAATTTTAAAACCTAAACAAATTACAGAGAACAAACAAGGTTAGTCACATCTTTTAAAAAATTAAGACTAAAAATTAGACTGAAATAACTGTCATTTTGTTTTTAATAGTAAGAGCAAGGACAAACCTAGGTAACCTGGTTCGACCACATACAAAGTGCTGTTGGGGAGGCGAGACACTCCTTGCATTCGAAGGCCTAAAGGAGATTCTACTAAGGAAAAGTTAACACAGGCAACAGCCAATTAATCACCATGGCAACCCAAGCCCAGGCAGGCTCCAGAAATCCCTGTGTCACACAGCAGACACTCACTCCCTCTCTCGCTGTGAAAGTATTACTAGTTTGGGCTCATATATCTGGTTTAACCGCATCAGTAATAAGTATTACGCATCTGTTTCAGACCACACGCCCACATACGCATCCTGGCATTGTGGCACATAGATGGATAAGATGGTGAACAATTATTGCAGCTCAATTATTGGTAGAGGACAAAAAATATATATTAAAATATTACGAGCAGCCATTATCCATACTAGCATATTGTGACAAATGTTCAAAGTGTGGAGAGATGACTCCTGCTAAAGCTATGGGTTGATAAATTCTGGCAATACCGGGGAAAATAGATTGTTTGTGTCAAATATTCTGATGCATCGATAACTGTTTTAATACTGAATCGTAGCCCTCTGAATCACGATCAAACTGAATCGTGAGGTGCCTAGAGATTTGAGAGAGACAGGTCTGCTCAGCTGATTCATATATGGCAGCAAACTGACATGATGCTGATGTACATGAGAACTAATGTAAAATGGAGGCTGAACCATTAACAGAAATTACCACCTGAAAAGCATTTTAATAGGCTACTCTGACAAAATTAAAACTGGAGGCTGCAAACAAACTAGTACATGGGTCTGATAGCACTGCCGCTGCCGCGTAATCCTGCCCACTTTTCAGATGAGGCGCAGTTCATGTCGAACAAACCTCTTGACAGCACTAAACTTGCTCGGTTTTTGCCAAATGCACAATAGTAAACCTGGTAGTACTACTCCTCTGCTCACAGATAAACAAGATTCAGAGTAAAAACACCTCCATTACTACAGTTACCACAAATTCCCAGACTATATATTATCAGCTGATGATAAATAGTCTGGTAATTTAGCAGCTGAAGTTATCAAGGTAAAGCACATGACATTAAACCAATATAACAACCACTACAGAGTGCAAGCACAACTTGTCAGAAGGATACTCTTATGATCCAGCACCACGTTGATGTGTCCCAGTTGAATTGCTGTAACTGTGGAGGTGCTTTGATCCAGGCTGGCCACAGCAACATCTGGGTTTCCATTAGTGCCAATCACGCTGTTCTGCAGGTGCAGTTCATACTGATCACAAGGCATGGAGAGCTCTGGACAAACACATCCACAAACACAAATCAGCTTATGAGCTGGCATTTCTCTACTGCACAGATTTGAAACTGAAAAAAAAAATGGCACAGCTGCTCCACTCATCTGGTCACAGTAAGAGGCATCAATGACTCAACCACATTTTTAATTCAGACTTTAGGAGTGAAATTGATGCCTGAACGTTACAAGCTATGAGTCAGACCTGTGATCGTGCCCTGTCTTATCTTCAGGACTCTGTATCGGATAGAAGTTCCCGCCAGCAAGTAGACATCGTGTGCGGGGCTCAGCAGGATGTTCTCTAAAATCAGCAGTCTTACCTCTGCGGCGCCCACATCCTGTAGCACAGAAACCATAGTTACAGAACAAAACAGCTCCAGTTTCCCGCCTTAAAAAACCAGAACAATCTGGCTGCAGCCTTCAAAAAAAAATGTATGGGCAGAAATTCAACTCAAATTTCACCACTGCTGTGACATCACAGATAAGCTAGAAAGGATGCATTACAACCACTTAACAGCTTACCTTATACAATGGCTCTTGTATTTTGGCTTTCAATTTAGCATGTCCTGTTTTCAGTCCTGATACCAAAATAATATCCCCCTGTTTCCCAACACGCTCCATGTCAGATATGTATCCAGGGGGTGTGTATGTGGACTCTGAGAATTTAAGTACCCTTGAGGGGAGAAAAGAGACAGATTAGAGAATCATATCAGAGACTCAACTCAGTTTTGCTCTTTGCATCTGACCTCAAGAATTATTCAATTTCAGTGGAAGAGGAACCAAGAAGTAAAAAAAGGAACATCACGCTACAAAACAACAGATCACTATATCAAAGCTTTTCTGGCTTTATGGTTAAGTTGGCATAGCGGTGGAGGTTGGTACAGGGTTCCCACACATTTTCATGGATAAAATTTCAAAACATGGGGCGTCGGTAGCGTAGTGGATAGTGCCGGCATCCCACGTACAGAGGCGAAGCAACCATTTGCTGTGTGTCAACCCCCCCCCCCCCCAATTTCACTGTCCTGTTCATAAAAGGCAAAAGCCCAAAAAAATAATCTTTAAAAAAAAATAAAAATAAAAAAAATTTCAAAAGGTATCCATGGCTTCTCAAGGACCCAGAATAAAGTTTCCATGACCATTTACAACAGTGTGCTTAACTCCAAATGTTAATTGTATTATCATAGGTGGTCCATAGACGAGTACAGCACTAACAGTGGTGGAGTGACAGCTGACAGTTTAATTGGCCCATTGGTTAATTTGTCAGAAAGAAAGTATAATGCTCTACTTTCAGAGCAGTGACAACAAAACCAAGGTGTGCACTGGCGCTCCGAGCAACAACTCTAGAAATTTTGGGATTCATGAGCATATATGTTAAATCACACTCAATGACATGACATCGGAGAAAATTGATTTATTGTGTTAGTCCGACTAAAACCGGACTTCTAAAATACATGTTAACGCGACTGAACCTTGCGCATGCTCTAAAGTTCCAACCCCAGGCTTCGACCTGGAGGTCGGATAGCATTAAATGCATAACAGAGGAAGAAGCTGGTAAAAACATGGCGAAATCTACATCCAGAGCCGTGTATTTTTGGACAGATGAAATGTACAGAGCTGTAAAGTTGTGCACCATGGCACCAGTTTGCTGCTAGATAATCGTAGCAAACTTCTTTGTCAATGGTTTGGTCTGTGACATAATAGATCAGCCAGAAAAAGGTCCAATATCAACAAGTTGAAAGGGGGCATATCGCCACCTATTGTAGCGGAGTCGGACATACTTGGGTCAATAAATCGATTCCGCTCCCTTGCTTGTATACAATAGTCCACCTAAATGCCCTCGTCGAGCTATGACCGTAGCTCGACTTACATGTGCACGTAAATGTACTGACTGTCACAAAATTATTTGTCTTTCCCCAGTCGTCCCACGTTATTCAAACATATCAGATTCAAACTCTCTTCAAACATATTTCTAGCTATCTGGAGGGAGAGGTGGAAGATGGAGACGAGAAAATGAAGAAACATACGTGATGGTAAACAAAACATCACACAACAACGCATGTTAGAGCTATGTTACGTCAACAGCTAAAGAAAACAAATATTCAGTCATGATACATGAAAGGTTATCCAAGGAAGATTACTGTTACAATTTATTTCATTACACACAACATTTTATGACTTTTCCAAAACTATCAAGAACTTTACTATTCTGGGACTTTTCCAGGCCTGGAAATGTTTTCAGTGACAGTGGGAACCCTGTTGGTAATTCTGTCCACTTTGTGTTTGCTATCAGATTTTCCAAAAGGAGCCAGAGTGCTCAGTGAAGTTTCAGCACTGTATAAACACAGGGGAGCTTACCGTAATGAATTGTAAGAGTCAGAGAATCCATTCACATCTACATCTTTCACTAAGGTCCAGTCAAACACTAGACCTGCAAGGGTGCTGAAGGTGTTTCCTGTAACACAGAAAACAAGAGTCAGGCCTGCTGCTTCTTTAGCTCACAAACTGCTAATCTAAACACACAGGTATGTGAGATTTGATGAAGAACAGAGATTATTTGCATAAACCTCTCAACTTGTCTTATAAGGCTGAAGACACTATAGTATATTGAATGGATAATGGATGCCGAGCACGATGGTCTGAGAGCTCCTGGCAGTCAAATTAGCTAAAACAAAACCGATAGGCATTTCATTACGGGATACTTGCCGTCCTTTTGCAATCTGCTCCATCTGAGGAATCTAAAATGCACTTCTAGGCCAAAGCAAACAAAAACAAAACAGCGGGCCCTGGAGCCATCATCAGAAAGAATCAGGCTGTAGCTACAGCTCATTAAACTAAGTGTGTCTGCCTTAAATGGAACCAGTCGCACAGAACAAACACAGCCACCTCACAGTAGCAGCCTAAGAGGAAAGAAAATGCTGCCTAGAGCTCAGCTCGGTCATTACTCTGAGAAGCCTTTAGAGCAGCAAATAAACAATACGGCATGGACTTGTTACGATAGGAATATAGAGTAATATTACAAGTATTGATACAAATTACTCTTAATACTCTTAAAGGGATATCAATAACACCAGCAGCATCCTGTCATGAGTCAGTGTATGTCACCTTCAGAGTCCAGTGCATGGATTTTGAGTGCCAGTGGTGAGTCCTCGAGATGTAGCTCTCTGGTGGTCGACACGATCTGGATCTCACTGATGATGTCGACAATGGCGTCACAGCGCAGTACCTGTCCCGTAACTGGAAATGGAAGAGGGGAAAAAATATCATATACACAGAACATGCTTTACAAATGTTGTCAAGATACTGGAATTTCTAACCTCATAAACAAAACCTTGAAAATGATCTATAATTGATACCATTTTCGATACTGCAGGAAAAAATTCAAAGTTATTAAATATATCAAGGCTAAATCATAACAACAACAACTTTTCTTTTCTTGGTTAGTAGCAGATAACAGCAGGATGACTGTAGGAAACAATATACTAAGTGAGAGTGGGAAAGCACAGCTGGTACTGGTCTATCAATACTGCGGAAAAAATGAGTCGTGAAACCTTTTATAAATATTCAAAATCGATATGCATCATCAAATTAATACGTTTGACAACGTTACATTGCACAGTACTACAATAATGCACTTTCCCCAAACCAGGAAATGCTCAGAAATAAATAGCTTGGTGTTTTAAAGGAACTGCAACCTTATAAAGGCAGAGCATAAATTATTGTTGAGGCACAAAGCAAAGAAATCTACTTCCTGGCTACAGCAATTGAGAGTGATAGCTCCAAAGCATTCTCTACTTCACACACAATTCTCTATGGTTATCAAGTCAAGTCAAATGTTGTGGCTTCTCTAGTCTGCCAAGTGGACTGTAGCATGAGTGATAGACTATATCTGATTATGTTTTGCGAAACCTGCAACAGGAGCAGCGAGTTAGGCCACATTCAAAGTCAGCGATTGTGTCTTGAACACATTGTCTGTCTTTGTTTTTGTGTTTCGTTGTTTTATAAAAGAGACATTTGAGATGCACGTGGAAAGGCCAATGTGTCTGATTTTCCCGATTCCAAAGCAAATGCTCAAAGCTGCCAGTCACCCATGAGTGGCCAGCAATGCCACAGGCAATGGATGACATACACCATTACACAATTGCAAAGGAGGAAGTAAAAAACAGTGTTGTGCAACAGAATGACCATGAGATTGGCTACTCTAAAGGAAACACAGAACACACAGATATAATGTGTACTATTATGTTCATGTTATACCTTAGATACTGTACTTATGCCTCGTTTCATGGCTTTACCAACAATTTGCTTACAGAAATCCTTAATCATGTTTTCTTTGTTATTCTTTATTGTAGTATCCTGAAATAAATCTGCGTAAAACCAGAGAGGTGACGAAGACATTTGAATATTGAGCAGGCTCGGCTTATGTTAGGGCTGCTAAGCGTGCTTCCTCATTCTGTAACGGCAGGATATTATAAAAAGTGTGTATTATATATGTGTATATTCTGAATTCTTCATGTTATAAAACAGAAAGAAGTGACCTTAAAACAGTTTAGTGAATCTAACAGCACATAGAAAACAAGAATAACAGCCCCTGGAAGGTGAACATGTACTACACACACTATAAAGTATAACAAATTGTGGCAGTGATAGTTCACTCAGCCCATAAAAATATGATAAAGAATCTTTAATTGATACTGATCAACACATGCTTTTGACTCCTGATGCTCTGCTTTTGCGCCATCCACATCAAAGTGGAAAATGTGTATTTTTCAAAGAGCAAATCCACTGAGTGCCACACTGAGGCTGATTTGAAAACCAAGCCAGCACCGGCATCTTGCATCTATCAAGAACAGCTGAGCTGCTTGAGAAGCGGCCCTTATCTTATCCATGTGACGCGTGGGGATGGGGATTGGTAAGGTTTATTGGTATCAATGTCGTTAATGATTCTGTTTATCAGTCCAGTTCTTTATTGATTCCCTCATTGAGTCATGATTAATTTTCTGTGTGGGGGAAAAAGTAGGTCTTCACAGGTGTTCAGCGTCAACGCAGCTGTTTTATTATTTATGGGTCTGAACACAGTGTGGAGGCAGAGAAGAAACAAAAGGCACGCATATGACTCAGGTGTTTAACTGCTACCAGATCTCAACTGGAAGGTCAAAAATCTGCTGAGCCTGCCTGCGTGGCGCTCATGTTATAACATATGATATCTACCTCGGTAACAGATGTGCTGCTCCATAAGGAAGCAGAAGCTTGTGTGTCGCTTTTGTTTCCAGCCTTACTTAAAATAATAAAGTTACAGACATACAAGCAGCATGTTGTCATCTTTCTTCTTGAAATGAGGCCACGTCTTAGTCAACTCTTTACACTCAGTTCCAATCTCCAGTCTGACACTGCATCCACTCATACCGATTTCTGTGGAGGAGGGGGATTTGATCTTCTCTAACCAATCTAGAAACCAACATATCCGCCTGAATCTAACATCATTGTAGGTCCACACTGATGCGTAGCCATGGCAACATACTTGTTTTGCCGGGGTTTAAGAGTGGGGTGGAGCCAAGTAAAACAAACTAGGATGTCAGGCGATATTGAGCAGACATGTCAATTTAGAACAGCTTCAATAACAGCGTCTATCTTGACTACAGCACTCGCCACTGTTGTTATTACTCTTGACTGGTTCCAACAAACCACTTGACAACAGGTTGACAATGCCAACGACGCGGATTCCAATGTCTGTCCAAACTTCATACACGGTGACATTACAAATTTGAGATTTACCACAGTAGTTTTCAAATTAGTGAGAGAGCTGTTCATGTTAACTAATATTTTTGAGCTTTCTTAGACTATAAGAATGGCATGTATGAAATCTGAAAATGGATGTAGTTCCTCTTTAACTTTACAAGTTCATTACATAAACAGCCTCCAAGAGCAAACAATATTTGGACAGCATGTGCTCCTGAACGCACAAAAAACTGAACTAGAAAATAATTTCTCAGGACAAAATCATTTCCAGGGTTTAACTGTCTCTCAGTTTCTGAGTATTTTTCACTGTTGAGAAAAAAACTATAATATTCTAGCTTTTCCTGTTTATTCCCCCACTTAGGAACCATGCGTATGCATGTCTGTAAACATTTCTGTCGTCCTCTAAGCAACAGTTTGTAAGTCAGCAAAGCACACCTCTATAATCCCATGGCTGTTTCTCAACTGACCTATATTTCATTTCAAAGGAATTCAGAAAATGTACAACTGGACAAACTACGCACAAATTCATTTCCTAGCTCACACATAGGAACAATTTTTCACTTAGCTCTGTGTGGTTCCTAATAGTTGATTTATTATTATAGCAACCGTGTATTTACCAACATCTTCAGCCAGAATTATGCTGGTCAGTCTGGAGGGCTGGGTGGAGAGAGCCTGGAGAACAGCTTTCCGGGAGCAGCCTCTGCTGCTCTCTTCATCCACACCCTGGATGCTTGCCACCTCTGGTCTGGTGGAAGACCTGGAAGAATTATGACCAGACAAAAAAACAGGTCATGTACTAAAGTGGAGCAGCAGCCCTTTCGTTCTTCTACATTTGTCACAATAACAATGTCGACCTTATGTTCATCATAAACAGACTTTAAGGTCCCGTGTGTAGGATTTAGAGGCATCTAGTCGTGAGGTTGCAGAACTTTAAGGCCCTGACAAATCAAGCCGACGGTCAGCTGTTGGTTGCATTGTTGCCATCAATGAGCATCTGTCAACCAAGTCACCTCAGTGTGTCCTACACCGCTGGCCCTCATGTGCCCTTGTCAGCTTTTTTTCAGCTGATTCAGCATGTTGAATCAGCGACAGAGGAGCCCATCTGTGAATTAAATCACTCCGATTGGTAGTTCAAGCTCAGTGCACAAGATCCGAAATGGAGGTGAGGAAAGTAAACAAACAGCTTAAGTCAAGAGGGAGTGAAACTAAAACAAACTTGTTGCATAAGGTAAGATTATTTTTCTTTAGCCATTAAGCTTATTAGCAAAAACGCTTCATGATAGTTTGTGTTGTCGTTGGTACACATGCTCTGTTCTTTCAACATTGGATTGTGTTATTAATGGGCTAACTGGCTAATTAGCATGTCGACAGTGTTCTGGTTTCCCTTTTTGAATGACACGTACAGACTATCTCCATCTGCTGATGTGGAGAGATATTTCATCTCACACACTGGGAGAATGTACATGCTGGTCAGCCGTCGGCTGTGGTCTTTGCAGTGTTTTCATGTACAACTTTTTGGCTGGGACACGGGTGACATGAGGAAACACAATAGCTGGCCTTTATTGCCACTAGTTCTTTAAACTCAGTGTGGTGTGTCAAGCATCTAGGAGAACTACAGAAGCAAACACGAAAACACAAATGGCCCGATCTAGAGCCAGTGTCTGATTTGTCCATCCTGGGCTACTGTACAAAAACATAGTGGACTCAGTGGAAGAGGACCCACTCTGTATGTAGATATAAACACTCTTTCCAAGGTAACAAAACCACAATTCTTATTTTCAGGTGATTGTAAACCAAAGAAAACATAGTCATGAATATTTTATACCATTTCTATCAATAGATGCCCCTAAATCCTTCACACCTGAGGCCGTATTCACAAAGATTGGGAGAATACTCTCAGAGCTCCTAACTTAGCCCAATTTTTTTTAGTGAGGAGTAATTTAGGAAAGTTCTCAGAGGGACAGACACTTTTATCTTAGTGAGGAGGTGTGGTTAACCCTGTTGCTAGGTATGATGGATTCTTTTAACAGATGTGATTGGTTGTCAGTGCCACGCCCTTTAGTGAACCTGCAAGGTGTGGACACCCAGTGGAAATGAAATGAACTGCTGACAGTGAAAGTGTTGTCATTAGTGCTGCACGATTTGATAAAAATGTGCGATTGCGATTATGGTGGACAATATTGCGATTTGCGATTGCGATTGCGATTACAATAAAATATAATAAATAAATGGTATCATGAGTCTTTTTTCTTGATTCAGTGTCTCTCCTACATTACATTAGGGGGCACCAACCTGACATAGTTATTGTTATGGACAGACAGTGTGTCAATGACCATCAACAGACTGAGCACAGTCAAACACGCTGCCTGTATAGCTAAATTTGGCACATTTACGTGACTAAAGTGATCATATTAATTAATGTGCACTGCTCCCTCTTAAATACATGTTACACAGCACGTCTTTCTGTTCAACGTCGCCGTACCTGAATCCAAATTATTGCCATGTAATAGACGTTGCATTTTTTTCACCACCAACTCAGCCTGTTCATGGTTGTGCTCATACTCTTCTTCAGCGTCTGTGTTGGTCACTGCTGCACGCTGGCTGCACGCACCAGGATAGCTTGTGGGTGTGATGTCAACAAACTCCACACACTACAGGAGAGGCAGTCACGTTCACAGGCACACACGTTAACATTTATTTAGCCTACATTAAATCGCAAATCGCAGCCTTTTATGCGGTTATGTAATCGCACAGCCTGACATCGCGATTGCGATTGCGATTAGATTAATCGTGCAGCACTAGTTGTCATTGTTTGTGTGATCACTCTGCTGATGGAAGGTTGAGACAGACCCAAGTCATCACTGCTGCATTTTCCAGTTTTCCAAGTATCTTAGTGTTGTAATCATTTTATTTCTGGTGTCATAGCGTAAGTTGGGAAAAGTGATCCCTAATGACATCAACCACACATATTATCCATGCACGAGCTATTCTGTGGCATTTCATTTGCTCACTGTCATTCTGCGTTAGGAGAATATTTCTACAAACTTTGTGTTTCCACCATTTTCTCCTCTGATTAAGAAACTCTTAAGCCTCTTAAAAGTCCCCTTCCTACTCCGTACAGTTTCTCGCCTTAGGAGGTCTTTTAAGTAGTGTATGACTTATCTTTACAAGGACCTAGTCTTAACTTTAAGGGGAAAAGAATTTAGTCACTAGGAGCAACTCTTGGAAGCTTTGTGAACATGGCCCCTGACCTTTAAGGTGACATTTTCATACATGGGGTGGAGTTGTGTCCTTACTGTAACCTTGGATGGCTTCAAAGGTGAATAACGTACAGGAAAATCTTAATCTCAATCGCTTTAGCTGTCTCAGGGCCCCCCACACATTCTCAGTACACTTGGCCATGTGGCCTCGCATGCCCCAGGCAACATGACACTGCTCCACACAGCATGCCCTCAGCTCCCCTTCACCTCACGCAGCCAGACTACTCACCATCTGTAGCAGCCTTCAGTAGTTTCCAACGTGAAGTTAATTCTCGTACTTCTAGCGAGCGGTAGCAACACTTTGGGGATATTCAGTTTCGAGGAACCGTTAACTCTTATAACGGTTAATAATACGAGCAATACAAACACTGGTAACTTAAAGGAAATCATTTCCGTTTCATGAGCGTGCGCAGATTTACTGGTAGCGATCCTAACGGTCGAATGAATGAACGCTGAATTTCTGTACTAGCTAAACTTCCTCCGTCTCATTAAGTTTAGCTATTTGTGCGGTAGTTTAGGAGCTGTGGCTCTGGGGCAGACGTTCAGGTGGGCTAACATCGCTACTGAAAGCTATTTCAAACACGTTATCTTCCTGCTCAATTTCAGTTTGACTCAGTAGTTAACAGACAGCAGGCACATGATGGTAACAGTTACAATGTCCCCGAGCCCTCTAACTCAGCTCCTTCGCTTCGTAACGTTATATCCTCGGAGATTCTTTAAAACACGAAGCGACTACTAATTCCAAAGCCCCGGTTCAATATTAATATATACAGCTAGCTTACAAAGGCATAATGTATTTTAGTACAAATACCCGCCATTAGCAATAATTGGACTTCCCCAGTGTGCATGCCGGGAGTGGGTATACGTCACAGACAGGGTGGTCAACAGCGAGGATAACGCGCTTTCTTAAAGGTACAGTTTGTTTTTCTCAGTCATCCATTTCAATTGAATTAGGCCTTTATTTAATTGAATTGGTTTTAATTTTAATCTAATTATATAAATCTACGCTGCAAGCAAGCCTGGATTACCCTAGAGAGGGGGGAAAGTGGACCCCAGACCTTTAGGGGAAAGCCCCTTGATCATTGTGTGCTTGGTTGGTTTTAATTTACTTAACTGCACATTTGTTTTAGAAATAGCCCTATGCATCACTATACTACAAAATCAACAGGAACCTGCACTATAAGTGTATAAATGCTGGTTAAAAGCAAACCAGAGCTGTTGTTACTTTTAGCTGAATGCACTCAAACCTTGTAGTGCGTGGATTGGGGTCTATGTATTTTATTGTGCCTTCGATGTTTATAGTGTATTGTGCTTGTATGATGTTTTAAACTGTATATTTTAACAACATTTTAGGTCTACATGTAAAAGCCCAACTAGGAATAAGAGTTGAAAATTAGCAATAGCTATAAACATCAGTCCCATACTCTGTATTGGAACTATGTTATATTGCATTGTCCCTGTCAAATAAAATGAAATTTTAAATAAATAAGCCATCTTGTTGAAAATTCTGATTAATAACTAGTAATATTCTTATTTTTTTCATCAATATTTTATCAGACTTTTTTTGTCTAACATAAACAGTCTCACCAAGTGTTAGCAAAATATATGTAAATACGCAAGAGGAAAAAACATAATAACTAAATAAAATAATTTAAAAAAATACATAAATAACAAAACATTAGTAACTCCTTAAAAAATCTATATTCCCACATAAATATGCGCCACAATCTGCTCTGATGTACAAGCAGCTAATTAGCTTTCAGGCATCCAAAAAGTGTGCAAAAGAGCACCATGCACATGGCGTGTGATTTACTTTAAGACACATATTTTAATTTTTGGTGGTGGTCAATGGTGCACTTTTATTCACATCAAGATGACAGCATGTGCACAAATTGTGATTGTGGTTGCCATCTCATTTCAATTTCAATTCAATAAGCTTTATTGGCATGACATTTCATATGTGTTGCCGAAGCACAATTACAATTTCAGACAGTGAATGACATTAACTGTAGTGGAATATAATAAGCATTTAAATGATTAAAGAACCAAATAACAAGAGTGAATATAAATAGAATACAAAATCATAGACATACAGATTAAAGAAAAAAAAACTCATTAATTGGAGGAGTAAATAAAAAGGCAGAGTGTGATCTGTGAGGAGATGAACTATATGTTTCCTTGCTATCAACTTTTTATTGTTGTTCATATAACAAGCAACAATCACAATAACACACAACAATCCCCCTCACCCCCCACCCCTAGCGCCAACCAGTCCAATTTGCTGGCCTAAGTAGATCAACTGACAAAGAAAAGTAAATTGATTAAGAGGGAGATGGACTATATGTTGCTGTCTTGCTTGTCTCTCAGGCTGTGACATGAATACATTTGATTTTTGTTAAGAACTTTGTCCTGATTTCCTCATATGTACTGCATTGTAGCAGGAAATGTTGCCCTGTCTAAACCTGTCTCTGAGGACAGAGCTGACACAGCCTGTCTTGTCTGGGCAGCCAGGTCTGCCTGTGTCTGCCAGTCTCTATGGCCAGGCTGTGATCACTGAGTCTGTACATAGTGTCTTTCTCAGTGCCTGATTGGTCACGACAGACACATAGTTTGCCATCATGTATTGTCTGCTCAGAGCAGGGGTCAGCAACCTCTACTATATTTGGCCAAAAAGGGAAAAAAAATCTGTTTGGAGCTGCAAAACCTACTTGAGCCTTATAATAAAGGTAAAATAGCCCATTTTAAGTTGAATTTAGCCTGTCAACATTACTAACAGATCTAAATGAGCATTCATTAATATGATTTAGTACAAGATGGTTTTCTGCAGTGTGCTATTTATATGATTATTTGCTACTTTAACTTTGCAGCATTGCCAGTGAAAGCAAACTAATCTGTCCACACACTATTAAATTCTCTATTTTTCCTTGAGACTTTTCCCTTTTTGCATTTGGAATCCACAGCTAGCCTAGCTAGGACGACTCAAAACTACTGCAGCCATTGTTAGTGATGGTTTAAGAGGAAAAGGCGCCAGGCTGGATGTGTGACGCACATTTTAGTTGATGAAATGTTTTTTTAAAGCGGTGTACAGGCTACACATTGTCACAGTTAAAGAATGTAAGAATCACTTTAGGCCTACAACAATAAATAAAAAGTAAAATGTTAAAAAAAATAGTGGTTATTCATTTCCAAATAATTTTCTGTCAAAGCCACAAGGAGCCATTGGAGAGGGTCTAAAAAGCTGCAGGTTGCTAACCCCTGGTTTAGAGCCAAATAGCACTGAAGTTTGTTTTGAGTTTTTGGGGTAGATGACCAATAGTTTATTTAGTTTTCTTTTTCTTTAGCGAGAATTTGGTTGGCTGGATTGTGTGAGGATTGTTCTGAGGCCTTGTGCTGTTAGAGGAAGTGAGCCTGAGGACCAGCCGTCTATACTATAATTTGATTTTGTTGGTCTGTTCTGGGGTTTCTTCATTTTTTTCTGGTTAAAGGTTTTTTGTTTGTTTGTTTAATTGTTGTTGTTTTTTTTTTTAAATCTGTTTTGTTTTTGCAGTTGTGCAGTTCCTTATTCGCTGCAGGGTCAGAGGACAGAGGCTGTTGTATGTTGTAAAGCACTCTGAGGCAAATTGTGATTTGTGATATTGGGCTGTGTAAATCAATAAACTTGAATAAAACTGAAATTGAATCAACAAGCATTGTCAAGCAGCATTTGAATTCCCCTTTGGCACACCAAGTTCATCAACTTTGAATGTCACTGTTGAAGCAATACAACTGAGATACCAGGTTATATTGTAGGTACACATATACAATCTAATGCAGCCAAAAAGCCCTTAAATTTATCCACATATCTCAAGCTTATGTGCAGTTTTTATTGACACAGTGTCAGAAAGATGTGCATTAATCTCTTGTGTATATTTGAAGTCTCTCAGATACTGTATGTCATGGCGATGGACAAAACTTTGCACACCATAAAGCAATCTAATATGTAACCATCATTAAAGACAGCCATAGAAATGACTGGGAAAAAAAAAAAGAATTGATTCATTGCTTCATCACATAACTTTGTATATTCTTGCTCTAGTGATAACTCTAAGTGTTTGGCTACTCCTTGACACTCATTAAATAGACTTACCTGTCTGTGGACTCTGGCCATGTAAGATAAATGAAAGCCATTAAGGCATAAATCAAACATTACCTTGCCCTTCCACACACAAAAAAAAAATCTGCTCTTCACGGTTATTAAATATGAAGTGCAGGGTATTTAGACAATGGCCAACTCTAGTAACTGACTAATTTGTGTACAGCACAACTGGTTTTGTATTGTTTTACATTGACAAGGCAGACCATCACATACGTCTGCCTGCCAATCATTCCTCCATTGCATCTTTTTGCTGTCTGAGTCTTCAGCATGCAGTCAAGAACATGCAGTGTACAACTTTTCACCCCTAGGTGTCACTGACAGCTACATGGATATTATTCTGACCCATAGGCATGGATGACAGCAGTGACTGGTGGGGAAAAGTTATTACACAGGATATGGGTAAAGAAGGGAATGCAATATTTAACAAACAAAAAGACTATGGCCAAAAAAGGCAACATGTTTGACTGCATAATACTGTGTAAGATTAAGAGCCAAAATCTCAGAACGTCTAATATCTGATCTCCCCTTGGTTTGTTTGTGTATGAGATCATTTTCTGGCTTTAAAATCAGTCCTGAGATAGAACATGAATTGTTAACAGAATGTTAATTATACATTCTGAGTTCAGCTGGCTGCATTATTTCTGATCCAACCCACTCATCTGCTTTGAAGTTATTATGGCAATGCCCCTCCTGGTCTGTGCCTCTCGTTTTCTCGACACAGAGAGATGCACAGCTTGATTAGCGAATACACTGTGGTTTTGAAGTGTTTTACATAATGCAGCACTGTGCCAAAGGTGACATATTGTTTGAGTCAGAATGCATTAGCAGTGAAAGCCCATCACTGGCTGGTGCTGTGTTCCAATAGGCTGGTTTTAATGACAACCATACAGTTGCAACGGCAGCACTCTCCACCTATGATATACAGTATATCCACACTCCAAAGGTAACGTGATCTAAAGTGACAGCTGCTCCAACTTGGTTTGACTTTTTCAAGCTATTTTGGGTTGTAATACAATGACATATCTTTCTTCAGCACAATGATGGCAGTTGAGAATGAAACCTGAGAAGACAAGCACAACTTTAATTTATTTTTGGCAAAGCTGCTCCATGTGGGCTTCAGTCCTACTTTTAGTTTCATCTTTGTACCCTATCCACGGGCAGTGCACGTACAATTGATGTCAGGAGTGAATGATGTAATGTCTAAGAACATGGAAAACAATACCTGAATGTCACGCTCTGTGTCTGTCGCACTTCACATGGACGCCCATGTCTAGACAACACAAAGTGCAGCACCAGACTGAACTCATTGACAGGGAAAAGTTCTTGTAATGTAGAGTTCTTTTCTGGGCCTTGTTTCTTGGATAGATCTTTACATGATTTTCTCGATCCAAATCTGGCAGACTTAGAGCTCAGCAGCCATGAGGTATGGCCAATGAATAAACAGGAAGTTCTCAAAGAGTTGGAAATTTAGTGAGTTTAATTGTCATAACCTTTAACAGTTGCTGATTGCAGTACTTATAATCAACTGTTGTTCTTAAAGGGCCAGTTCACCCCAAAATCAAATATACATACTTTCCCTCTTACTTGCAGTGCTATTCATCAGTCTAGATTGTGTTGATGTGAGTTGCTGATTGTTGGAGATATTGGCGGTAGAGATGTCTGCCTTCTCTCCAATATAATGGAACTAGATGGCACTTGACTTGTGGTGCTGCGCGCAAACAATACGTTTGAAAAACACTAATGTCTCTTTTCAGAAATCGTGACCTGGTTACTGAAGATAATCCACAGACCTTGTTGTGAGCAGTTTCATGTAGGAACTATTTCCTTCTACAGAACTACACTCACCAACTGTATTACTGCGCAGAAGGAAATGTGCATCTACTCATGGACGAGAAGCTTGTGCTCATGATAACACAGGATGTAAACATTAATGGCGTCCTCCTCGCAAATTTGCAAATCCTAGGATAGCAAATGAATGGCCTGTCTTACTCTGCCTCTGATCAGCTTACCCTGACATTCTTACCCTAACCTTAACCAATGCTACCCCTCTTGCCTAAACCTAACCAATCCAGCCAACGGCAATGATCCATAGGGAACATAAGGCAGGTTATTTGCTATCCTAGGATTTGCAAATTTGCTCCTTCCTCTGCTGAGCTGTAACGTTAGCTAGCTCAGGTGAGCTAGCAGTAGATGCACTCTTCCTTCTGCATAGTGATACGGTTGGTGGGTGTAGTTTGGTAGAAGGAAAGTAGTTCCTACATGAAACTCCTCACAGCAAAGTTTGTGGATTATCTTGAGTAACCAGGTCATGATTTCTGTAAAGAGACATTGCTGTTGAGTTTTTCTAATGTGTTTTTTGGCACTTTGAGCACCACAAGCCGAGTGCCATCTAGTTTCATTATATGCGGGAGAAGGCAGACATATGTATGGCGAATATCTCTGACACTCTGCAACTCACACCAAAACAGTCTAGACTGATAAATAGCACTACAGGAAAGAATGCATATTTTTGATTTTGGGGTGAACTGTCCCTTTAATGCTCAACCTTTCAGTTCCAAATTATTAAAAATCCACTCGCTCTTATACTGGGCAATGGTGCTGCATTACATACCACTCCTGAACACATCAAAGCCCTTCACCTCTGCTATAACACTGAAGTCCATGCAGCGACACCCATATGTTGCACATAAAATATTTTCCTATGTCACAAATGGCTGCAGCTGCTGTAAAATTCCGTCTAGTGTCTGCTCATCTGGCATGCATCAGCAGTCACATCCTTCCTGGTGTGAAGTCGGGAACTTTTCTTGGCCACCATGCTTGGCTTGGTCCAAACAAGTGGGTGCAGGAGGCCATGGCACTTACTTAAACTGTTACTCAATGGCAGTGCTCTCAGCTGGTGGCTCAGCTTTTACCAGAAACGTAATAGGCTTTGGACGGGTCACTGCTTCAAATAGTTTTGGAAGTACACAGCTTAAGGGTCCCCCTAGGTGTGAGGCTCAGTAAAAAACTGCTGTAGGTAGGCATAATAAAAGGTGTTACTATCCAGTGGAATCAGCCTTTTCCTCGGGGAGCTGTATGTTCCAAGAAATGTAAAAAAGGACAGGGAGGTGGGACTAGCTGTCGCGCAACTCTGTGTGTGATAAGACTACAGATGTCCAGAGGGGCTAGAATCCAAAGTCTGCTGAACTTCTAATATATGAAAGAAAATAATGAAAGAAAAAAAAATCCTTAAATATCAACCTTTCCCTTGAGAAGTAATACACCTTTTCACTTTCAGATTAGCTTGGCGTGGAAAGTCAAACAGTTACACTCTACAGGGCTGTGCTTTTAAGGGTCAGGTCACTTTACACAGCCTTAACTACATGCTGTAAATTCCCTTGCCATTTCCATGGTGTAGGCATTATTAGGTAGATAGAGCTGAGTGGATTTGCATTTGCAGCTCTATGCATTCATGAGCATGGACAATGAAGGTATAATCTTGCCAAAATGCTTCCATGTGCCTCTCATTTAATGCATACGAACTTCTCTTTATTTACAACTGAAAGAGATTTCTCATTTAAATTCACCTCAGGTAAAATTATATTAATAATAGCCCTCTTGATACTAGTTTAAAGCATTAGACTACCTTTTAGCCATATTATTGATAGCACGCTGCATTAAAATTAAAATATGTTAAATATTACAATGCAGAAATGAAGCAGAACTAAACATTTTGCTGTTTCATAGCAGAGCCAAAAGCTGCTGTGGGCTACACTGTGGGGCTGCAACCCTACAGCAGACACGCCGTTTAACTAGACCCTGGAAAGTCTTTACAAGCCACAGGTGGGGAGTCACTTTCGGCACATTACATTTGGGTCCTAATTTCCCGTCTTGTAGCCCCCCGTGGAGCCACTGTGCCGTGTCTTTGCTGGTTTGCTTTTTAAGACTTCCTCTCCTCACTTCATCTGATAGACCCGCAGCAATGTGTTGAAAGAGAACACATCTGAGTACACAAGTACAAAAAAAAAAACAAAGAGAATTTGAATGTATTGGTCATTAACCACATATGCCAAAACACTATTATTAGGAGATTAAGAATAATCATCTGGCACTTCATTTGGATTCATGCATAATTCCTGCTTAATTCTGTTATGGGATGACGTGTAAGGATGATTCCACACTCAAGCTCTTGCAAAATTACTTATGGCACGAGCAGATAATGGACCAAGCCGTGCAATATATCAATTTAGACCACCCCACACACTGCCTCTCAGGCCTAACAAAGGTCACAACAAACACTTTGAGGCTCTGCCCACCTGTTTAAACAAGAGGAGAAGATCAGGACAATGCATCACACAATGGACAGATAGTGTTAACACCTCCTGCATTAGGAGGCCCGAGCAGACAGTGATGTCATCATCACTGGCATCGCTTTTAATAAAACCCTGAGGAATATTAAGGCTATGCTATCATCAAAGGAACTGAGGCAAGAATGACTTCACTCTGTTCGGAGAACAAATAATAAACACAGTGTATTAAACTTTAAACTTTAATTCAATATACCGAGTGTGAAGCAGAGAAAGTGCCCATTAGGTCCATTATTACAAGGCAGGGTTGCAGACACCGGGCTTGGGCAATTAGTAGTGGCATAAGTCACCATTCAAACATGCATGAATGAGAAATTACAACAGTGTGGGGTGCAATTACCTCTCCCAAATCAGTGCGTGTCAGATGACATTATCTTGCAGGCTGAGAGCCATTACTGAGCTGAGGCTTTCTGGCCCCAGAGGAGTGAGGAGGGGTCAACTACTGTGGGGGGAACAGGTCATTTGGTCCCCTCCTGTGACATGAGGACATCTCTCTGGAGCCTGGAGGGCCTCACGTGTTCAAGGCATGCAGCGTTAAGGGAGTCATTTCTGTTTGACCACTACTCTTTCATCACAGAGATGATTTATTTTCATGCAGACTGTTGAAAGTGTTCAATTCAGAACTAAAGGCACCATTTGTAGCTGTTGAAACGGCACAGGGGATAATTTACTTCTGAAGTGGTAATTGGGAAAACAGTACAGTGTGTTGCGACACTCATGCCGCTGCAGGTGGTCATGGGTAATGTGTGTTACGTAATCTGCCATTTGTAAAACATCTGTGGAAGGAAGTAAAATCTGATGATGCTTTTACTTGGCTACCATTCTGAGGGTCAGCAGCTTATCGGCGCAGCCTGGTTGTGTTTTAGACTTCACAGCAGGGCAGGGCTGCACAGAGGAATGACAACAGCCCCCCTGGGCATCAGCCAGCTCCAAGGCCACTCGGCTCATGTCTATGTTATTAATGATCATATGAGTTGTGAGTTGAACTTGCGTTCATTGGACCTGCGTCACACATGTGTCTCCTGTAGGCATATAAACAGCTTGGCCACCAGGCACAGGTCAAACTGAATCAGAAAAAATCAATATAGTGTTGCTGTTGTTACTATGGAGTTATGCAAGTCACATTATTAGATGTAAATGTGCTCAGAGGATAACTGTCACTGAGGATTTACAGAGTTATAATGTACGATATGTCCCTTTGACCCCACACACAACTGCTCACAAGTTGCAATAATGCAAAATGGAATCATTTTTAAGCAGGATTGCAAATTAGATGAGAGATGAACATTTTGTTCAATTGGAAAAGGCATTCACGAGCATCTGGGGGGCCTTCATGGCGTGTGACTGGTGCAGCTGCGCAAGCATTTGATTATAATGAATAGAGAAAACTAATAATGGGGCCACTGACTCATCTCTGTCATTGATTAGTCAAGGGAGACCCCTGAAACAAAGTGATCAATGGCCCCAGTGCCCCAGCTGCCTGTCTGATCAGTGTATTCATCTACTGAGGCAGCTGTTGTCTATATTTATTCTCACTAGTGACTCAATTATCCTGAAGATCAAACTAGGAGAAAAAAAGGAGAGATGCTGAAAAGATAAAATTCTCTGTGGTCTGCTGAGGACAGACCAGTATATCAGATTCCACTAATTACAGTCATAATACAATAATCTACCCAAAATGCTCTGCTGACAAAGATCGCAGACATCATGTGATGTCTAATGGTGCCTGACTGTATGAGCTTGATTTATTAATTTGGCTTGTTGGCATCACTGCAAGTAAAAAGGACATCAGTCAATAATGTGGCAACTAACTGGAGGCTGTGTTGCTGTAACTATAGTGAGGTTAAACAGTGAACATGCACAAATGTACAAATACAAACTATTTAAAAGGGACACTGATTTTTTTTATATTGTTAGAAGATTATATGACCAGAGGCACCCTTATCTCCCCGGTGTGATCATTATATTCATCTGCACAGTATCCTCATTAACGTTCGGCTCATCACAGTCATGTTTAAGCAGAATCCTGACAACACATTTTTCCACTGACGTCACTCCATGTCCTTGTGAAGCAATTTCTCGTATCCTTGATGATTATAATGCAGAAAGGGGAACAGAAATCATTTCGAAAGTCTTGGAGATGATTCTATGAAAGTTCGTCCCGCCCCCCCCCCCCCTCAAAAAAAAAAAAGAAGGGAGCGAGGGCGCTCCCAGCCTCCCAAGTCGGAGTCAGGACACAAACTTTACGCACAAGTTTCCTTTAGGAGCACAGCAGCGCTGCACAGACGCAAGGTAGGCAACATGATTTTCGTGGATAGAAACAATCAGTGTCAATGCAGGACATGATATTTGGAGCATTTTGGTTTCCACTGGAGAACATGTGAACATAGAGGGAGAAATATTTAGGCTACAGCCGCTCTGTGATCAATACCGTCCTGTTTTAAAGAGTTGAGAGGTGATTTCTTGTTGCCTGCTGCTCCTGGTTTTATCACGGCACGACGCTTGGAATAAAGCTTTAATTGTGTTATGCTTTATTTAATGCGTGCCTTTACGACTGTGAAGTCCAAATTTTGGAGTCGGCTCTGAGTCTTGTTCAAAACGCTGCAACAGTTGCAAGACCGTTGATCACAAATGCTGCTCAATGTGACAGCGAGTGTGTGCTTTTAAATACTTTTACGCAAAGTTGTCCGTCTCTTATTCACCTGTCATTGAAATGTTAAGTTATTGACGTTCGCTCGTGAGTCAGAAGATTCCTGGGGAAAGTGTTTGCGCGTGCGTACGTGCGTGCCCAAGCGGTTTACAGCGAGCATAAAGGATAAAGGTCAGTTTTTGGGTTACTACTGGGATGACAAGATACACATTGACTGTTTGAAATGCTTTGTGGGACATTCCCCGCACTGATAGCTGAACAAACAACCCCAGACCACTTTTCACTCACAGGAAACAGCTCTTTATGGTCTTTGAAGTTACAGCTAGATGGGTTTTATTCTCCATCCATCAGATTTCCTCATCATCAAGTGGCCCCTATACCCCCCTTTCACTCTCTGGATTTAGAGTTTTGGTGCTTTTAGGGCTGCGTTCAGCACACCATGGCAGAGGGCCATATGTGAAATGATTTTGTACCCACAGCACACAAAGACATCATTGAGTGAACAGAGCTGCAGAGCAGTTTGTGTTGTTCTGTGGTTTTGCCTGAGTTATGAAGGAAGACACAGCAACAGATGTTTATTGTGATGACCCTGAGATCATTGTGAAGGCTTCTAGCTTTTGTTTTTCATTATCTTCATGTATATGCACTGCATTTTTTTGCTCAGCACATAGGCAGGAATTGGATTGCACAGTCAGGCAGATGCACTTGAAATAACCACATTCGTGCATGTCTTTCTATTTTCTCAAAAGATCAGGGGTTGCAGGTCGTACCTAAGTACTTGTGTGTTGCAGCAGGAGCTCAATACTTCCAAGGACACAAGTAGAGGCTGTTTCTGTTGGAGAAAAGTAATCTGTAAACACCTTCTATGCTTTGCTTTGTGTAGCTGCTCCTCCTCTTTTGGTGGAAATCTATTCCAAGGACATGTAGTTTGGGAAAAATGTGATAACAAAATAGGCTGTGGAAACTAAGAGCTCCGCTGAAAATTGGTTCGAAACATTTCAGCAGGAAATGTCTGGAGACAAGTTTGTCATGCAGACGCGATTTGGAGTTAATCTCTAATTCTGAACCAGACTTTTGTCACATAAGTCTCTTGCAACTGGCACAAAAGCAAGCGGCGTGGAATAACAGGAAAAGCAAAATAGAAAACACCTGGTTTTCAATGTGCTCACTGATTTGAAATCACATCACTTGCTCAGAGGATCAAGCCTGTGACATTGTGACTTAGTGCTGCCACTCTGTCTCTGTACAGTATGAATGAAGAAAAGCTCCAGAAATCTCATCAAATCCATTCATCTTTACTTCATATGACTGTATTCATTACAATATATCATATTTTCTTATGACAGCTCTTCTGCTGGTTTGTGCAGTATCAGCTCTGTGTTATCCCTGAAAGAGTTCATGTTCCACCAGCTATTATAGCCAGAAAAATGAACAATGGACTCAAATGACTGTACAGTATTTGCATAACATCCCCACCACATTCCAGGGAAGCAACACATTTTATGAGAATACACTGACATATGCTGCAAATAGATAACTCAGACAAGCAGTTCTCAATGCAGTTAGCACACTGTTTTTGCAAGACAAACTCTAACATTGTCATAGAAGGGAGGTTTGTTATTTCAGTTGCCGATTTTGTTGAGTTATTTTCATACATATTTCCCTCAGTCAATCTTACCTTTGGCCAAATTTCCACATTCAATCAAATATAAACCACAGCTTTCATCCCCTGTGGTGCCAAAAAGAGTAGGCGTGGAAAAAATGTATATTTGGCAGGAGGCCAAATTAAAGCAGACAGGTTATTAAGTGAAAACATGTGTTTTTGATACTAGCCGTGAAAACAAACCAAAAATAATGGGATACTGATTGTTATCGAGCTGAATACCAGACTACTTGAACATGTCATTAACCACTGTTTACTCTCACAGGCTAAAGGACACAAGAGTCTTTCTCATCTGGGATAAGATCTAGCCTGAAGAGACGCTTTTTCTTTGAAGAACTGACTTACAATTTTATTTTTTTGTACTTTTTTAAATGCAAAATGAACATTCAGAGCGCAACGTTGTTTTTAAGTTGGATGTTTCTGTGCATGGACATGTGTCTAAGCCAGAAAGACTGCACAGGCGTGGACTGTCCTGATCTGCAGAACTGCATTGAGTCAGTTTTAAAGAAGGGCGCCTGCTGTCCCACCTGTGTACAAAAGGGCTGCACCTGTGAGGGTTACCAGTACTACGACTGCGTCCAAGCAGGCTTCCAGAAAGGGAAAGTCCCAGAGAGGGAATCTTACTTTGTGGATTTCGGAAGCACTGAATGCTCCTGTCCCGAGGGAGGTGGCAAGATAAGCTGTCATTTTATTCCATGCCCCGAGATTTCCCCCAACTGCATTGATAGTTCACAACCTGCAGACGGTTGTCCAATATGCAGACGAATTGGCTGTACCCACGGCACCAAGAAGTACGAGGCGGGGCACTCATTTCAGATGGACCGGTGTCAGGTTTGCCACTGTCCAAATGATGGTGGAAAGTTAATGTGTTCACCTATTCCAGGCTGTGACCTTCGCAGTTCCAACAATCCCGTGTGGGTTACCACCACTGAGAACAACAGCCCTTTGAGAGACATTAGCAGCCGTCCTGACAGCCGACAAACAAGTCCTGTGGAACCATTTTCCAAGCTGGCACTGGGGAACACTCTACCACTGTATAAGCCGGACCCACCCAGTTTTGGCACAGGGGATTATGACTACACACTGGCAGGGCCGACGTCTTCCACTATCCAAGATCTGGCCCAACCACTGGAATCTACTACAGTACCACCAGTTTACCCAGAGTCAAGCTCCACTTCCTTCAGTTCCCATGATGACAGGAGACATGAGCTGAGGGAGACACAAAAAAGCTCTGATTCAGTGAGCAGTGAGGCTGAGGTCACACAGGACACGGATCCAACCACCACAGGGCTTCAGAGCGAAACATCAACATCGTTGACAACAACCACACAAGGAGTGACCACAGAGAACCAGCTGCAACAGGAAGTTAGTGAAAGGACCATTAGACATAACAATGACAGACACAGAGTGGCACAGGACACTTTAAAAGACACCGCCCGTGCAAACAAGGAGGCCAAGCGCTCTGACCGTCACAAACATAGTCAAGGCACTCACACAGGGAGTCATGGCAGCCCCCATTCTGCTGGCCGAAAGGAGCAGGAAAAGGTGTCTGCAGAGTATAGGCAGCCGCTCGGTGAAGAGGAGCAGGTCTTGCATCCCACAACAGAGTTCAGTCCCACCAGCAGAACTCCAATCAGGATGAGGGAGGATGGACAGCAAAGACAATCCCAAACCCTCAACAACTACCAGGATGCGAGGGGAGACTCTGAAGGTACGTTAGTTTTTAAAGTAATCTTTTATGCTCAACAGTATCTTTACTTTTCCTGTAAGGTGATTGAAAGCAGTTGAATTGAAAAGAAACCTGAAACTTTTTTTCACATCATCCAATGCCCACATCAAAACACATCACAGTCTGATGATTTATAGTCTAGTAATGACAATGTTAAGCCACTCTATCTCAAAAGACATCTTCCTTTTCCTTCTCTCACATCCTGTCTTTTGAAGAGGAATTCACAATCGCTCTTTTGGAGCTGGCGGCGGTCCAGGAAAAACAATTGTTCATGGAAAGTCTGTTTTCTCTGGATAGCATTTATCTACCTTACTCAGGAGAGAAAAGCACTATACTTAGCATATGCTCATTTTCATGCATTCACGTTGAGAGAATACTATATTTATTTCTCTAGAGGTTTGTAAGTAGCGAGTAATACTCAGCCTGGCACCATATTACATGGTTATGTTTCTAATATATCTAATAAATCCCTTAAGAGCTGCTGGAATTGCAATTTCTCTACCTACTTTGCTCTGCTGAGAGCTCCGGGGTTTGTGCATCCTGCCTGTGTCCTTCATGTGATTATCAGCATGTTCTCAAACGCATCAGCCCCCCTTCAGGGCATATAGGCCAATCTACTGCAGGCAGCAGGAGGGAAAGTAGATGATGAAGTGATTACAAGGATGTCTAAAAGATGAATTCAATTGCTCTGGAAATATGAGAAAAATATCTTTTTTTGGAAATATGATGTTAGGTTATATTGATACAATAGATTTAAAACATTTGCTCTGTAATCTTAATCTCAATCAACACTATTTAATAATCAAAATTTGAATTGCTTTATCTTTAAAAGAGCTGAATGCGACATTCAAAACATTGATATAGCAGCAAAGCACGATTTGCTACTTAAAGATGTAGTGGAGTAATGGCCGCCAGAGCAGATAATGAAGCCAAGCTCTCACGTTGTGGTAGCTGTGACAACCGCGTGTGCATGCTGGCATGTGAGTCCCTGTGACTGTGTCCCTGCACTGCCCTTATACCAGAGATGTATTAAGAGACCTGGATACAGCATTGAAGATGGACCCCTGTTCATTCAAAGCTGCTCAGTGGCACATGAAGCCAAAAAAGCCCTATTTGTGCAGTTTGAAATTACCCTGATCTTTCACATAATGGGGCCCATTGAGCAGGCGCGCTAGAGACATACAGCAGCTGATCACAGCCGGGTGCATCTGAGTGGCTAATTTCCATTAGCCAAAAGGTTAACTTCTGGTTTAGCAATCCGCTAACCTGAATGAGGATGAAATGATTTATCTTGTGGCTCTTCTGGACTTTCGAAATGTTTTCCGACTGAATTAATCAAATCATGATAGTAAAATAAGTCATTTTGCAGGGGGCTGTGAATCTCACTGTCCACTGATCTACAGACATCTCTTTCCCAGTGTAAGTCTATGGGAAAACGTCTTTTTGGGCCCCATGGCATCACGTGATGGACCCGGGGGGTGTAGTTCCACTTTTGACCACTATGTAAAATTGGCTTCAAAGCCCTGTGCACTTCCTGGAGGCCTGGCTCACATGGCCACTGATATCTGGACCCAATATTTTATTTTCTAGGATGGCGAAGGGATTGCTGATTGGCTAGTACCTATGCCTTTATTGGCTGGGTTGGTTAGCTTAAGGCATGAGGAGTGAGATTGGTTAGGGTAAGAATATCAGGATAAGCCAATCTGTGGCGGAACAAGGCAGAGTACAGTGGGTCATGCCTTCACCATCCTAGGAGAAAAAAATGTGCTATTTGAGTGGCGTTGTCATGTGAACGTAGCATCCACGCGACTCTGCCTTATTCTGCCTCTGATTAGCTTACTATGACATTCTTACCCTAACCCTAACCAGCCTCACTCTTCTTGCCTAAACCTAATCAACCTAATAAATGGAAGCAACAAGTCCTAGCCACTCAGAGGGAGAGTAGGGCGAGTCATGTTTTGGCCATACTGAAAAAAGGCCTCTGGTTTCCCAATTAAGCTGTATGAAAATAATGGACATAGCTGCTGTGGTCGACCATTGGTTTGTGGAACGTTTTGAAGCCTTAAGTGTGGCATTTCTGCCGTCACCATCTTGGTTTTTTGGAACCAGAGGTGACTATAATTGACCAAGAGGCTGGCGCTGTGGAGGAGCGAGGGGTGGACCTGCCTGAGAACCTTAGGTCACTATCTGCAGACAGCTTGTTACTCAAAGCAGCCCGCCCTTACTTATGCATAACTTTAAGCTTTAATGAAATGTAAACAAGTGAGTTATATAAAATGTCACCCTCTGTACAGTTGTCATGAACACAGAAATTAGCTACAGAGACCAAAACCATTTTTGTACCAGGCTGTAAACATGTTTATTTATGCTGTAGAACTGAGCATTTTAACATGGGAGTCTATGAGAAGTGACTCACATTGGAGCCAGCTTCAAGTGGGCATTAGAGGAACTACAGTTTTTGGCACTTCCATGTTCATTTTCAGCCTGGAGGTTGCCACTTGGTTTCAGCCCAGTTACCAATATTAGCTTTGTCAGCACTACTGCCATTGTTCGTAGTGTTTAATACATTAACACCATTAGCTGCTAGATGTCTGCTCAGCCACTTCCATGTTGAGAGCTGCCCCAGACTCTGAAAGACTACAGCTCCTTTAATTAATCAGATTTTATGCAGTTCCATATGTGTTAACGATTAATAAACTTCCAGCCAAGGAAAACCTAATTACATCATAATTCCCTGTACTTTACGGCTTTATGGCACAGAGTAGTCTCACTATATTATTAGATGTCCCTATGAAGTAAGTGAACTAAATTATGAAGTAGTGAAATTTATAAGCCATGCCACTTCATCCCCACTCCAGTGACTGAAGCACTAGGGAAATTGGTTCAGGATTCTGAGAACTCTGTCATATTATTGGTGTTTTGTCCAGCAAACTGCAGTCTGGAGGTGTGCATTAACCTACTTTACAACACTATGATTTTTGTTGAGACCTGCCAGGGCTTTTCTTTCCATCAGCACCTGGCCTCCATAGGTATGTATAGTATATGCCGAGTGCATCTGTGAGGTGCTTCTGTGGGAGTGAACTCCAGATGTATACTTGTCAAGTTCTTTAACCAGCATAAAGTTGGGGAGTATAGGTTAGAAGTTGTTGTTAAAGAGGACTACAGGCTCGGGTCAAGTCTGGGTAAAATGTGAAACTGTGTGTGAAGCTTTTGTGAGCCAATAAAGAAACTCTTTTATTTGTTCAGGGGAAAAAACAGATATTTGCTTTGACAGATTTTCCACAACGTCCATAAGTGCATTAGGATGAAGTCCAGCATTTCAATTGTGAATTATAGCTTCACGGAAGAGAGTTTGACTTGAAAGTCAAACTCGGGATGTGTTTTCCCCCTGGGATCAGAAGCTGAAACTGGTCTGGCTACTCGATTGAATGACGCTGTGAAGGTTCACTGGTGAAGGTTATTGGACTAAGGGAAGATTTCCAGAGTGGTGACGTGTTAAAACACAGACAGGGAAAAAAAACAGCTGATAAGAGCCATGACTAATCTCTGTTATCAATGCCATTAGCAGAAGATGCCAAAGTTATTTGGAGAGGAAAAGACATGAATAACAAATAACACAACCATTTTTCTTGAAACATAAATGGGCTGCCTTTGCAGAGGAACACAGCCCAAGATAAATGGTTTTTTTTTCTTCAAGTCAATAACTCCAGCTCATTTGCCCTCTCTCTTTCCAAGCAGACGCAGTCTGTGCTCAGAAGGGGGATGGGATTTGTTCAGGCTTTCTGATGCTGGGCTGGACCTGGTATAGGATTTCTTGGGGGGGTTGTACCTGTGAGCGGCATAATACCCATGTGATGAATGAGACCACTGTTGTGGCTTGATTGCCAGACGCTACTCACCGCTCCCTCATGAGCCGGTGTGATTACCCGTCTCCCGTGAGGCTGCTGGTTTCCCAATCTTCCCAGTAATCACCTCATCTGAAGCACACCTCCACACATTCTGCTCTCAGTAACTTCCCACTTTACCAAGCACAGACCATAATATTGAACTAAACTAGAAAAAATGTTAGACATGGATAAACTGATGAAACCGAAGCACAAAAATCATCTGAGGTGAAGTGGAATAACCGAAGAAGTGCTTGTTTTCTATCAGCAGCACTGATAGCAACATGCTGCATATGGGAGTGGGTTGAGCAGATGTGTAATTTTCCTTAGGATGAAAAAGAGGGCGAATTCCACAGCTGGTCATGTGAGAGTTCATTCCTACTGTACCACTACTGTGGACATCAGTCTGAAGAGGATAGCTCACTCTGCTTAATCTAGGGTGCCTTCCAGGTCATTTCCAGGAATTTTGGCGAATCTCCCTTCCACAACATGTCCTTACTGAAAAACCGCCTGATCCACATGTCACCCGTGCTTATAAATAACAAAAACATCTGCTCCAAATGCAGAAAACCCACTCATAAAAGAGACCCGCTGTCTAAGTAGAGAGTGATTGGTGATAAATTGTAACACAAAAACACATCTGCCTCTTTCTGTCATTAACATGCAAAGTGCAGCTGTATACAGATGTTTTTAGACTTACAATACAAGCAGTCAAGTTTTCTCTGTTTAATATGAAACATAGTTATCCTGTTATATCAAATAATATGTTCATATTCATGCTAATCTTGACCTTCCCTAAAATAGGTAATTTCGCCGGGGTTTTGAAGCTCAAAATACATATCCACTGATTTACACATGTCTCTTTCCCATTGTAAGTCTATGGGAAAAAGTCTTTTTGGGCCCCATGACATCACGTGATGGACCTGGAGGGTGTAGTTCCACTTTTGACCACTATGCAAAATTGGCTTCATAGCCCTGTGCACTTCCTTTGGGCTGGGCTCATACAGCCACTGATACTGGGAGCCGATTTTTTATTTCCTAGGTTGGTGAAGGTATGGCCTGTCCTACTCTCCCTCTGATTGGTTAGTACCTGTGCCT